ATGTAGGATGAGACGGGCCCAGACGACGGCGGCTCTGCTGCGTCTACAGCGAAGACAATAGCTACTACTAGAAAGGCCATAGCTAGTTGTGCTGATATCGTCGCCATTGTTGATTCACAATCTTTGTGATTTTTGGTTTTGCTGTTGAGATAGTTTTACCCAAATTTGTGTGTGAATTGATTGAGTTATGATGCAGGATTTTATAGTTCCAATCCAAATAGTTAGTTACTGCATCACCTTATATATAGCACTTATTGTTTAGAAGATGGCCTAGATTTACGTCAATAAAATAAATAGTCGTATTACCAAGCCCTTGAAAAATGGGAAGAATTAATTACACGACCTTGTCTTAAAGCTAAAAGCATAATATATATGTACTAGAAATAACTTTTTCAACCCTCCAAATCCGCAGAGTTCATTCAAATTATATGAACCCTGAAATTTGAATCTTGATATCAAGCATGATATGAGCATATTTGGGGTAATATCCTCACTGTTTACCCATAAAAAATCAGTTTGTACCACATCGATTAACTGTAAGAGACTTAATGGATTTATAAGGCCAGCTCAACATTAATAATTAAAAGAGCTAGCTGGGCATTGTTAGGTTGGGTTTTTGGGCCTAAGTGGCCAAACCCCTTCTGCCCTATACGATGGCCGACCCGTCTCCTTGGCCCCCATAGACCGACGCTGCCTCCACCCCTTGGTATGAAATTTGGCTCCCGAAAACTAAGTCTGGAAATTAGCCGGCACAATGGGGTGCCAAACGACCGGGTACTAAGCCAGGTGCAAGGTAGGGCTTGGTACGAAGACATGAAAAACATGAATTTGGCTAAGTATGAACCCAACAGGGTATCAAGCCGACAAGGCAGGGCTTGGTACCAAGGCGGGCTTGATACCAAAAAGAAGGAAAAATTGGCTAAGTATAGAGCCAAGAGAGTATCAAGCCGACAAGACAGGCTTGGTAGCCAGGCAATAGGGTACCAGGCAAGCAAGACAGCCTTGGTACTACTACATGAAATTTGGCTAAGTATAAAGCCAAAGGGGGTACCAAGCCGGCAAGGGAGGGCTTGGTACCAAGACATGAAACAACATGAATTTGGCTAAGTATGGAGCTAAGGGGGGTACCATGTCGGCAAGGCAGCCTCGGTACCAAGACCCCCCTACATGGTACCATGACCCCAAGGGGGTATCAAGCCGGCAAGACTGACTTGGTGGCCAGGCAACAGGGGGCCAAGCTAGGTACCAACTAAGAGAGTCATACAAAAACTAAGTCCTGGATATCAAACCGACAAGACGGACTTGATAGCCAGACATCAGGGTATCAAGCCAACAAGACAAGAAATTCGACTAAGGAATGGTGGCTAGCTGAGGTGGCCACCCGGCTAGGTACCAAACAACCATGGATGGCCCTTATGGGGCCATATGGAGACAAAGTCCCAAGACGGGCTTGGTAGCACCTTAATGGGGTACCCAACTGGCAGGGTGCAACTTACCAACTTGACGAGGCTACAAAAACTAAGTATGGAGACCAAGCCACCAGGGCTGGCTTGGTAGCAATGGGTGTCAAGTTGATTACGTAGCTTGTTCCCAAAAATACCATCAAAACATCAAACACCCTCGTTCGAACATTGTTCGGAGAGGAGTGAACCGTGTAATTATCGTTGTTCAAGAAGTCAAAGGTGCATTCATTGTTTTCAAACACCAGATTTTCCTCGCTGAAAAACACTCACAAAAGGAGTGAAAGCGCTATTTGGGGAAAGATCTTTACACGCCTTCATCATCTCTCAAATACAACGTAGCAGAGGGATAATAATATTGAGTCTGCTCCATAATTTATGTGCAAACTCACAAGCCCTATGATTTGGAATGACATTCCTCTGTGTTGAAACCTATGGATGGAATCTATTGCCTCCAATGACGCTTTCCAAATGAAACAACTTATCTTGGTTGACACCTATGGTACCGGATTTTCATAGCAGGGAAGTCTTCCATATTGTGATACTTGTCATTGATAAGTATCAACCAAGGGAGATTTACATTAGTTGACCAAGACCAATGAATTCTTCATCACAAGCCCCTAACACTTAGCAGAACTTATGAGTCCCTATACTCTCATAAATTGGCATGTAGCATTTTACCCATGCCTAATGACCAAATATGATCTCACTGCTTCGTTTTAGATTGCTTCAGGGACTTGCTCTTAATCGGCTTCAAGAATAGGAAAGACGACAACAAATTGGACAAAACATTCTTCATCTCCAACCCTTTACTTAGTAGTGGTTTTTCCTTCCTTCATAGGGCTTCAAAGGTTGACGACACGATATATTTTAGTTGATGTTTCAAAGCCGAATTTCGACTCATCTATTTGGGCTTCATGAGGTGCTTTGTAGAGTGAAAAAAGAACACTGATGTACATATTTCAAGTAGGAGGAGAATATCTCATGCAATTGATCTACATGTTGAAAAGTCAGATATTCCCTTTCTGGAATGCATCCTTATTCCTTTACGAGAGAAGAGCTAGAGTTGTTTCTTAATGCAAAAGAGCTACTGATGTTCCAACCTAGAATTACTCTTTGATCTATCAACATTTGTTGGTCTCAACCAAACAATCAATCCACCTCTGAAATCTGAGTTCGTAGCAAAAATTCACCATGTAAAATCCATACTAATTTTAGATGCAATGAAAGTAACACATAGAATATGAATTATACATTTCCTTCATGAGTCCCCGAGATACCTCATAAACTAAATGTAGTCTAATATTTTTCTCACCCACAAATATATTAGATGCAAGAAATACTGCCTAAAGTAGAGAGAAACAATTTGAGATAAAACTTAGCACATCGCCGTTATTATGAGAAAGCTTATATGCCCCTAGGAGGGTGTACGATCAGAATCCACGCAGCACAGGCCTCAATTCAATTGAACTAAGATCTCTTCCTTGCTCCTGACGAAACAGAGTCTCAAAACCAGCCTAGGTAGCTAGCTTCGAGCACCAAAAACAGATGGAATATGAGGGTTTCTTCACACCTGGGAAGAAGCACTCGAGATACATGGTTGTCTTCGAGTAACTAAGGGTGAAAAACTCAGCTAATAGACTCAATTGTCCTAGGTTTGATCGCAACCAAATCCTAAGCTCAACAATCAACTCGCAAGTTGTTCAAATTTGGGGTTTTTCTTATTCAATGCCATCTGACTGATACAAACGAGTTTGAGGCCTTTTATAGGCTTACACAATTACAAACAAACTAGAATAAGGATTGAAACTAACCTAACTAAGCAAGGAAACTGAATTACAAACATAATCCGAATAGAAGTAGGAATCCTTGTAGAACTCGGATTACTGGCAGTGCGAGGTAGCTTCTTTGGAGCCCTCGAAAATAGTCTTCCTAGGTCATTCTATCTCACCCAATCCCTTGTCGTTGTTTAAGTGAACTCCCTCTGTCTTCTCCAACTTGAATCAGCTCGAAATCACCTCCCAAACTCCAGTTATAGGTCTTCAAAGGTAGCATCTTGAACACAGTTTCTGCCTTAGCCAAATCTGGACAGATTCCAGGTTTCTCCATAGCATTTTGTGAGTCTTGGTAAACATCCTTCCTGGCATCTCCTCGAGCTCCATGACCTATCAATCGACTTATAAAGACTTGAAGATCACATGGATCCCTCAAACTCACATTTTCATTGAATGGTTTGGGAGATATGAGCTCCCAAAGTAGGTAACTCAAACCTGACCCAACACTTAGCCAAATTCCTTTCTTCTTCTTCCAAACTCCACTTCCTTCTTCCTCAAGCAATTCCAACTTCAAGATTGACCCAATTGGGATCATATCAAAAGCCTCGCAAGCTAGTCCTATGGCTACTCCAGCTAACTTTTATGAATCATCCACATCAATATGTAGCTATTGCTTTGTAGTTTGATTTACCAAAAGATATCTAGTATATTCTTGCTAGTAGTTCTCATTAGCCATTACACCACTTACACCCTTGTTTCTTTTGCCACTTGCAATTATCGTGACAAGGACCAAATACTCATTAGACATTACCAACATAATTTCTTGAAACACCACTTTTCGACTTCTCTATACGTAGACCAACTACTCTACTTATGAGCGGTTAGTCTACTATACGTATGAGCGGGGATATGAGTGAGTTTTATCCTTTATAGAAGAATATGTATCACAAGCCATATCGTCGGCTCCTTAGTCGCCATTGCTGCAGTTGGCATGAGAGCTTGAGAACAAAAACATAAATTCACTAATCATTTGAGTTATTTGAGATGAAGGGTGTACATTTACGCATTTTTCAAAAAAAAAAAACCTTTTGCCAATCCATAGAATGAGAGATTGTGAGAAAGCTAATTAATAGATCACGACTCCTTATGAAAATGCCAAACCTTTTCCCATTTGTTTGTAATGCTTATGATATGAACAAAAAAACAAGGGCAATACGTACTAATAAGTATAATGTTGCCACAAGGACAATAATAATAAATGGAAAAATTCCATTTAAATTTTAACATAACATATATAAGTTATCAATTCTTTGTTCTCCTTTGAAAGTAACATTTAGCAACATATATTAGAACCTGAAGAAAATCTAACTCATATTTGCACATTAATTAAATATTTATATTGTTTTTTATTGTTGTTAACTTAATTGATTAATTAAAGTGACAAACTTGAAAGATTTTTGTAATTCAGTGATCATACGTGTAATTGAGCCTTTTTTTTTTTTGGAACATGGATAACCCTCCCCCGTCACCACTTAAGCGATGTCGGAGTCAGGCCAACTTACAGGACAGACATTCCGTTTGTGCGGTCGTAGCCGATCCTGTCTACCTCCGTAAACCCCCAGAAGGTGGAACGGTGATTCAAAATCGTGACCCTGTCGACCATCATCACAATCCAAACCTCATCCCTACCAACTGGGTTATCTGAGCTTTGGTGATTTTTAATCTTTAGCAACCACTGTTCGGTCAATATAAAAAATCTTATCAACCACGCCGAATAGTCACTAAAAATAATTTTCGTCATAATACACTTTCCAAACAAACGAACGATACCTTTATTTATTCTGCTCCTTTACATTAAAACCATGTCAAGGAGCCTCGACAAAAATCTACACTGAATTTATTTGAAACCATGGGGTAAAATAACCACTAGCTAGCTAACCTAATTCTCAACATCACTCGCTCAAGAGTACAAACAACAGTGACTCCCACCTCGTCCCCGGGTACATAAGCACAAACGTGTGGTACCTTTTTGCCATGTGCACTCCGTTGGAGACCGTTAGGTAAAGATGGTACACGGTGCCTCCGACAGCCAGAACCTCGCCTTCGTCTACGCTCAACAGCTTCAGCGGCGCTCCCGAGAGCCAGTTATCGCCGTTGTACGTCGCCACCGCGAAACTTGCAATGTCCTGGACCTTCTGGTCTCTCAACATCGACCCATTGATCGGATGCCACGAGTGATCGGGCTTGGTCGGAAACCGCCATATGTAGGATGAGACGGGCCCAGAGGACGGCGGCTCTGCTGCATCTACGGCGAAGACGAGTGCTACTACTAGAAGGGCCACAACTAGTTGTGCTGATATTGTCGCCATTGTTGATTCAAACGCTTTGTGGTTTTTTGGTGGTGTTGTTGAGATAGTTTTGGTCAAGTTCTATCCTGATGCTTTGTGAAGTGATCGAGCTTTGAAGACTGGAATTTATAATGGTAATCCGAGTAGTCAATTACAAGTTACACCTGCATCACCTTAGAAATAGCACTAATTGATTAGAAGATGGCCTAGATTTACGTAAATCGAACAAATAGTCGTACTACCAACCCCTTGAAATATGGGGAGAATTTTAATTACACGACCTTGTCTTACCAACCATAATATATATGTATAAGAAATAACTTTTTCAACCCTCCGCAGAAGTTCATTGTAATTCAAATTATACAAAAGTAGAAATTCAAATATCGAAATTGTTATCAATCATCACATGAGAAAATCAGACGCAAAACCCTTATATGCATTGGGTCGGGTCGCTTGAAGGCTAGTACGACATGACATAATTAGGTCACGACATGAGCGGTTCAACATAAGCGTTTTCTTGCATGATTCAATTCGAAATTGTGTGTGGGTATCGATTTTAACAGTCTGACTCGATATGATAACACTAGTATATTTTCGTCTTAAAAGAAAAGCTATAATAGTTCATGCATGAGAACTACTAAAGCAAATGGAAGCAAGTTGTGTACAAGTTGTTTATCTAGGATTGCATGCGGTAATACGCTCACATTATATATTTAGGGCATCATACATCATAGCTTGTAACCAACTTTTGCCAGTGGGGGATCCAGGGGTTGCCACCCCGAGCCACGGCCCAGCTCTTATCTGGATCCGAAGCTAGTATAACTTTTATAAGTTTATCGATTTTAGTCATTCGGTTCAGTGTTATTTTATATTAAAATTGTATGTAATTAAGAAAATGAGTCAGATGAACATATTCAAATTACAACTCTAAATTTAGCCTAAAAATTCTAGCTCCAATGATTCTCGTCTAAAAAAAACCAAACAATGAAACCGAAATAGAGATAGACACACAATACAAATTGATTAGTCAATTGATTTGTCTAATGTTGACATTGGCCGTTTCAACAACTACTCTGGAGAGAACCTTTTCAATAATGAAAAAGGTAAAAAATGATTTGAGCAACCAAATGAACGATGAATTTCTCGCAAATTGGTTAATTATTTTATTTGAAAGAGAGAATATGTTATTGGTATGGATGTATACTCCATTATTGATGATTCACTATATGAAAAAATCGATGTGTACAATTCATATTGTAAAAAGAATATGGAGTATATCTAATTTTAAATAAAATGCAACCCAATGCTCTTCTATGTCGTGAATCCGTTGTTGCCTTTTACAGTCTTCCTTGGTAGCTTTTCCCTTAGACAACAACCAAAAAGCAATAAAAGAACCAACTCTATATACAGACTTTCTAATGCCCTGTTCACTTCCCATTTCGTTTTCTGTTTATTGTTGCCAAAACAAAAATTTGAAAACGCAGACGAAAAAACGTGTTCACTTGTTTTCTGTTTTTAATTGAAAAAACGGTGAGCAACGAATGAAGTATCTGGCCGAAAACAAGAAAATGTCGTTTTCCAGGAAACTGAGACACCGGTTTCTCCCCGGTTCCAGCGGAAAAAATGATAATTTGGTTTAATGAGGTCGGGGATTCGAATCCCACGACCCCATTTGTTTTTTAATTTCAACTTCCCTTTAGTTTCTTTCTCCAGCGATGACTTTTCCCCAGCCCGTCGTTCTTTCCCTTCTATATCAACTTCCCTTTTATTTCTTTCTCCAGCAATGACCTTCCTCCAGCCCGTCGTTCTTTCCCTTCGTTGAGGCGGTGGAGGCGGGAGCTGCAGCTTTCGCTGCGATGGCGGGAGGCATGGCGGAGGATTGGAATTCAGGGTTCTAACAAGGCGGGATTGAAGGGCAAGAAGATTTTGGTGGTTATGTAGCACTGCGCCTCGCGGGATTAGGCCGTCCTATTCCCGTTCCAACCCCACGCGGATGCAATCTGGCCGTACACCAATCCGGCAAATTCATTGTGGATGTCGCCGACGAGTTGGAGGTGAAGTTGGCAAGGTAGTCGTAGTTGATGCAGATTTGGGTGGCCTGGTAGTTCGTGGTTGGTGTCTTCTAATTGGCTTTCTAGCTTTTGATGTGGGGTTTCTATCTAGAATGGTTCTAGTGTTATAAAAAAAAATGGTTCTAGTGTGGGTTTAATGGATTTGTGAAGTTTGGTTGATGAAATGGTACTATAATTTAGACGTGTCTAGTATCATAGAGCACTAAACTATGATGCTAGAATGATATCCATGACAGTGTTATTGGTTTTTAAAGAGACGAATCTCCAATGTTTGATGTTGTAATATTATTTTTTATATAAAATATCCGTATGTTTATTAGTAGTTTAAAAACAATGTAACTGTTATTATAGTCATTATTAGAGTTGCGTAATTGTTATTATAATCATGGCTAGGGTTGTATGATAATCAAGAATCAGAAAACAGAATGAAGCAACTAAACAGGTTTTCATTTCAGAACTCAGTTTCAGAACTCACAAAAAGTCTCAGCTAAACAATGTTTTTTCAAGTTTTGTTTTCCAGGAAATGACAGTTTCGTTTTCATTTTAATTTTGTTTTCTGTTCTGGCAGCTAACAGAAATGGAATGGCAAGTAAACGGCCCATAAAGTTATGCCCGATTGAGTTAAAAATGCAATTATTCACTCCACAAACTTGGTCTGTAGCTTCCTACCCATGCCACGAAATTCGATTCCGCTGCTTCGTTCTAGATTACATCAAGGACTTGATCTTAGTCGACTTTGAGAATAGGAAAGACGACGAAGAATTTGGTCATGTATTATTATTTTCATAAATTTGTGGACCCAATAGATCTCGATGAAATCATTACTTTTGTGCAAAAAAATTCAAAATTCAATTTAAAAACGAAGGTGGTAACGAGTAGTATGAAATTTTTTCTCAAAATATATTGAAAATGGATCTCATTTTGTAGATCACAACGATCTCGCTCCATTTGTGCAAAATAATTTGAAATCCAAGTTAGAACGAAAAGGATAAGAGTCGATTAAGAAAAGGGTAATGTCTATTTTTTATCCAAACCTTCTTCAGATTCTTTTATATTATCCAAATCTATTAAAATGCTATTAATTAGCCAAATCTTTCGTAATGCATCAAAATATTAGCCATTTTTATGTTATCGTTAATAATTTTGTAACTCTTTGCTTAGTTAAAATACTAAAATTGTGGAATGTTGTCCTTAATGTGTATCTTTCTAGTCAGTATCATATTGCCAAGTCAATATTACTAACAAAATTGCTAACTGAAAGTTAACATTTGGTTAATTCTTAGTATTTCGATAGGTTTGGCTAATAAAAAAGAATCTAAAAAAGGTTTCGATAGGGGAATAAAAAACTATTAATTCTCACACATTAGATTTGGAACTTTTTTGCCACACTAAAAACTAAGGGTCCACACCTAGTTATGGAAAAATATATCCATGTTAAACAAGGTTGTCAACTCGCTGGTCGACCCGAATCTACTCGGACCTATCTATAGAAACGGGCACCAATAACCAATCGAGCTTTCACCTAGATCTGGTCAAACCCGAAAGATTTGTACGGTTAGCACAAGTAACTGAATCAATAGACATTTCTTCCACGTGCCGTTCTAACATCTACTGTATAGTCTCATCTTTTATGCTCTGTTTGGAAGAGAGGGGTAAGTTGTAGGGGGAGCAAAGTGAAGGTGCAAACACATACCCCAAAGAATTTACACCTACTTGGATAATTTACTATAGTTGAGAGTGGATGCAAAGAGGGAATAAAAATATTATTTGCGTTCACTCCCAAATTAAGGTGCAAAGAAGAAGAGGGAAGAAGGAGGAAATGGGTGGAGCCACTTGAGTTGGAAAGTAAGAGAGGTGGGGCTAGATCAGTGAGTAAAGAAGGAATGGTGTGGGTCCCTAAAGAGTGTAATTATATTTTTTTCATTTTAAATATTTTTTTATTTTTATTATATTTTTATTTTATACCTATTTATCACCCCATACTTTTTAATCCAAACAATAATGTACCCCTCTACTTACACCCCCACCCATTTGCACCATTTTACAATGTACCCCTCGAATTTACCACCCCTTATTGCCAAACATAGTGATAAACTCATTTTATAATTATTAGAAACAATTATTAATTGTCGGATTATTATTCGGATTATTATGTTGGTTTATTGTTTGGGGAGGGGATATTATGATTAGGTTATTATTTGGGGTAGTAAAGGGAATTATTATCAATTAGTATAAGTATCAGTGTAAGTCAGGTTGTGGTTAAGCATAATAAGAATATTAAACCCTAATTCTCTCTCTTGTTCTTCCCCTCTCTAGCCGACTTATTTCCTCTCTTTCTAGGCTTCGGCCGAAACCTTCATCCTCTCTCTATCAACTCGTTCTTCCAATTCTCAATCCCTAATTGCTAATCTCATTCCCATATTCACTGCATTGTTCGCAACCTAGATTTCAAGGTCTATCATCTTGGTATCAGAGCCTGACTAGGTGCGGAATATTCAAAAACCATGACGTCCACGACATCACAAGACAAGGAGGAGAAGGTTGGTGGCGATAAGGTCGTGGCTACAACCGCAATCTTGAAGACAGGAGATAGGGCGATAGCGACCACCACGACGAAGGGGGGCACGGTGGCGCAAGCTAAAGAGAAGGGGTTAATGCAACTGTCACGCGACGGAGACTGCATTGAGGAGACGCACTGGGCTGAGGTTTGGATGAAGATGTTCAGGGTTTCAAGGATGCAGGGAACGCGAGGTTAGATGCTGCAAACCTAGAGGAAGGACTGAAGGAGGTCAACCGTTCCATTCGTCAGTTTGCAGAAAACGCAAGGTTAGCTGCTGCAAAGCTAAGGCAAATTCCTACCAGATGGTGTTGTTGCTCTCGAAGGTGTTGGTCCAGTTGTCCGAGGGCCTGTCCCTGGAAGTGAGAATGGAAGTAGGCAAGGAGGTCGGTTTTCCAACCGAGATTGGGCTAAGGAGGGCGGGGCCAAGGAGACCCCAAGCGCGAAGGAGCAGGAGGCGATGGCGGCGAAAGAAGCGGCCACCGAGATCAAAGCACCACCAGGGTTGATAACGGGAGCTCGGGTGGCTCAAGCCCTACGGGAGCTAGGGTAGGGTGATGGTCTTTTGGCGATTCCAATGGAGTATGAGATCGCGACACAGAGAGGCAAATCAAAGATGGTTGATTACTACAATGTCACTCAAAACTTGATGCTCGAGCAAACCGGGCCACGGTACCAGGAGAATGAAGAAGGAAGCTTGATGGGACGAGGCAAGACGAGCGCGTAGACAGATCGTTAAGCGATGGAAGACTGGTCGGACCAGTTCAGAAGAGTCGAAATCAGAGGCACCGGGATCTACTCGTTCTCGAACCGAGTCGGACTGGGCCACGACAGCAGCCATGTCGGTCGGGGCCGGAGTGAATGGAGGCTGGAGCGCGAGGGAGTGGGAGGAGCTTACTCCTCCTATGGGGCGACACGCGTGGAGGAAATATTCCTCGACATGCAGCAGGAGTTTGGCCAAGGAAGAGGGGGAAGAGAGAGGAGCCGAAGGGAGGAGTATGGTAGCACCTGGATTCCGGAGCGTGAATAGAAAAGCCAGCAAGGTCACTAACGTGCGGCACCAGGTATGGATAGGTATGTAGGGTATGACTCGAACTATGAAGGTGATAGGGATCCAGTGTTTCGAGCTATACCTCCAACCATTGGATTTTGGGTTATGGTTGTATGCAACTGATAGGTGGTTCAAGAACCACAACGTGCGTGAGGAGAGGAAGACCTATCTGGCATCCTTCTACTTAGAAGGAGATGCACTACAATGGTGGGAGTGGTTGGAGATGACGTACGCTGAAATCAGAAGCCCATATCGTGGTCTAGATTATAGGATGCACTTCGATACCAGTTCGGCAAGTCTGATGGATGGGCGCCAGCGCAACTGGAAAAGTAAAGGCAGACATGAACGATTGCTGAGTATCGGGCGGGGTTTCTTAATCTAGAAAATCAGTGCAAGGTAGTGTCGGAAGAGACTTTGGTCGAGATGTACATGGCAGGGTTGCGTCCGGTGATTGCTGTAGCAGTGAGGGTTGTCGAACCTGACTCGTTCAAGACACATTACACGTTCGATGAAAAAGGTCAAAGGAAACTAGAACACAAGAAAGGGCATAGAAAATCAAACTCATGTTTGCACATTAATTGATTTTTTTTTTGTTGTTGTTAATTTAATTGATTAATTCGAGTGACAAGCATGAAAATTTTATGTAATTTGAGTGACCATACGTGATAGCTCATTTTTTTAGGGAACGTGGATCACCCTCCCCGGTCACCACTTAAGTGATGTCGGAGTCGGGCCAGCTTACAAGACAAACAATTCGTTTGTGCGATCGTAGCCGGTCCTGTCTACCTCCGGAAACCCCCAGAAAGTGGAACGGTGATTCAAACTCGTAACCCCGTCGACCGTCATCAGAATCTAAATCTCATCCCTACCAACTGGGCTATCTGACCTTTGGTGATTTTTAATCTTTAGCAACCACTGTTCGGTTAATATAAAAAATCTTATCAACCATGCCGAATAGTGAAAATAATTTTCGTCATAAAACACTTTCCAAACAAACGACACCTTTATTTATTCTACTCCTTTACATTTAAACCATGTCAAGGAGCCTCGACAAAAAGCTACACTGAATTATTTGGAACCATGGGGAAAATAACCACTACTAGCTAGCTAACCTAATCACCCTCCCCGGTCACCACTTAAGTGATGTCAGAGTCGGGCCAGCTTACAAGACAAACAATTCGTTTGTGCGATCGTAGCCGATCCTGTCTACCTCCGTAAACCCCCAGAAGGTGGAACGGTGATTCAAAATCGTGACCCTGTCGACCATCATCACAATCCAAACCTCATCCCTACCAACTGGGCTATCTGACCTTTGGTGATTTTTAATCTTTAGCAACCACTGTTCGGTCAATACAAAAAATCTTATCAACCACGCCGAATAGTCACTAAAAATAATTTTCGTCATAATACACTTTCCAAACAAACGAACGATACCTTTATTTATTCTGCTCCTTTACATTAAAACCATGTCAAGGAGCCTCGACAAAAATCTACACTGAATTTATTTGAAACCATGGGGTAAAATAACCACTAGCTAGCTAACCTAATTCTCAACATCACTCGCTCAAGAGTACAAACAACAGTGACTCCCACCTCGTCCCCGGGTACATAAGCACAAACGTGTGGTACCTTTTTGCCATGTGCACTCCGTTGGAGACCGTTAGGTAAAGATGGTACACGGTGCCTCCGACAGCCAGAACCTCGCCTTCGTCTACGCTCAACAGCTTCAGCGGTGCTCCCGAGAGCCAGTTATCGCCGTTGTACGTCGCCACCGCGAAACTTGCAATGTCCTGGACCTTCTGGTCTCTCAACATCGACCCATTGATCGGATGCCACGAGTGATCGGGCTTGGTCGGAAACCGCCATATGTAGGATGAGACGGGCCCAGACGACGGCGGGTCTGCTGCGTCTACGGCGAAGACGAGTGCTACTACTAGAAGGGCCACAACTAGTTGTGCTGATATCGTCGCCATTGTTGATTCAAACGCTTTGTGGTTTTTTGGTGGTGTTGTTGAGATAGTTTTGGTCAAGTTCGATCCTGATGCTTTGTGAAGTGATTGAGCTTTGAAGACTGGAATTTATAATGGTAATCCGAGTAGTCAGTTACAAGTTACACCTGCATCACCTTAGAAATAGAACTTATTGATTAGAAGATGGCCTAGATTCACGTAAATCAAACAAATAGTCGTACTGCCAAGCCCTTGAAATATGGGAAGAATTTTAATTACACGACCTTGTCTTAAAATTATAATATATATGTATAAGAAATTACTTTTTCAACCCTCCGCAGAAGTTCATTGTAATTCAAATTATACAAAACTAGAAATTCAAATATCAAAATTGTTATCAAGCATGACATGAGCAAATCAGACGCAAAACCCTTATATGCATCGGGTCGGGTCGCTTGAAGGCTAGTACGACACGACATAATTAGGTCACAACATGTGTGGTTCAACATAAGCGTTTTCTTGCATGATTCAATTCGAAATTGTGTGCAGGCATCGATTTTAACAGTCCGACTCGATATGATAACACTAGTATATTCGTTTGAAAAGAAAAGCTATAATAGTTCATGCATGAGAACTACTAAAACAAATGGAAGCAAGTTGTGTACAAGCTGTTGATCAGCATCCCGAGTAACATACATTGCAACTAATCTAGGATTGCATGCGGTAGGGGGTAAAATACCTCGGGTACCACTTAAGTTTGAGAATTGGGGCATACATACCACTTAAATTTGAATAGAGCGTCGGGTACCATTAAAGTCGCCAAAATGTGCATCCGTCTAATTTTCAATCCAACCCACAATTTTTATTACTTTTTGGTACCCAAAACTTTTTAAAACATCCAAAACTATATTTTAACAAGTTTTTATCTAATAAAGAAATTAAAAAACCTTCTAAACATAATATTACTAAAATGACTAATCAAAATTGTTAATAAAATAGATAAATTAGTAAAAATAATAAACAAATATCAAGAAGAATAATAAATATATAGAATATAATAATAAATATCTAAAATCAATATTAGAAGATCTATTTAAATTGCTAATCCAATTAGAAGTACTATTAAAAATAGTTAAAATAGAAGCTAATCGATCATCAATACATCAAGACCAAAGAAAGATAAATGGAACACAGTCAGAAAGAATTAAACATATTCCAATAATTGAAGAAAATTTAGAACGGAAGTAACCAAGTAATAAATAAATAAAATCTACAACATTCCGTAACAAATCTAGAAAAGAAAATACGACTATAAGAAGAGAATTAGAATTAGTAAATTTAATTAATATGGAACATCTAAAATATAATATTAAAAAATTAAAGGATATTTAACATAGAAAATTATACAACATCAGCATGATGTACGAGAATTAAATATAAAATCCTCAGATTATTTATATCGATATAGAATTCATAGGATATATTTGCTTCAGCAAATTATTCAATTATTATAGCATATAATGGTAATTGAAAATACTTATAATGATAATTGATTCGACATTTTCTATTCAAAAATTGGTTTGGTATCAAAGTCTTCAAAAGAGGATTCCAGCTAAACAGAATTTATAGGATATATTTGCTTAGAGAATAATTCAATTATTAGAAAACATAATGATAATTGAATATACTTATAATGATAGTTGATTCTAAATTTTCTATTTAAAAATTAATTTGGTATCAAGTCTTCAAAAGAGGATACCAACTAAATAATAAAAATTGATGTTTTTCATAAGTCAAAATGTTACAATAAGAAAAGTAGAAGGACCAATTAAAATTTTTAGAAAAGAGAATATTCCAAGAATGTTCTGTTAACTTTAACGGAATGCACCTAACATTAAACTTAAGTGGTACCGGGTGCACAAATAATAGAGTTCAGTGGTACCCGACGCCCTATTTAAACTTAAGTGGTATCTCTGTTCCAATTCTCAAACTTAAGTGGTATCCAAGGTATTTTACCATGCCTAATACTCTCGCATTCTATATTTAGGACATCATACATCATAGCTTGCAACCACCTATTGCACTCCTCCTTGGTACTTGGTAGCTTTTCACTAGGGACAACAACCAAAAAGCAATAAAAGAACCAACTCTATATACAGACTTTCTAAAGTTACGAAGTGTTGCTGGATAAATTGAGGTGTGGCATTGTGATTGCCGAACAATACTTTGAAATTAAAGGCTCGGACATACGACGATTACGTGCAGTTGGTCAGCATCCAGAAAAGTTCGAGACTGTTTATTTGTGGGGTATACTTCGTAATGATAATCATCTGTGTGTTATTTTTTTCTGCAATTTGAGAAAGGAAGAATTGGTGTTTAATTTTGGGGTATACTTCGTAATTATAATCGTCTGCAACTTATAATTGTAACATACAACTTCTTATAAGATATTAAACCCCAAAAAAATTAATAAAAACTTTATTTTGTGCTAATGTGCTTCCTCATTTTTTGAGTTGGTTGTTTGTTTTCTCGACGTGACCCAACAAATATAGCTTTCCATATTCCATTGCTCACCCAATTAATCTCATCGCCTACAGCCCGCCTCATTGGTTGCGGCTGCTACTACTCTAAATATGTAACCCAACAGGATTTTAACCTCCAGCAACAGCAGCATCCAGAGGAACATTCTGCGCCACAGTTGGATCCCCAACTCCAGCAGCAGCTGCATCCAATTACACAAAGGCATGAAATTAGACCAATACATGAAGCTTTTTATCAAAACATAGTGCAACACTAAACATCATGCATCATTCACATTGAGCATCGGCAGCATCATTAAGAACACAACATTGTGGAGTGTAATTGGCGGAGTAAGTATGCCTAAAAAAACCTACATTTAGGACTCTACTAAACAAGAGTTATAACTTATAAGTGCATTCAATTGCATGAACAAAACAGGGGTAAGCTATTTACCTTGAGTGGTCTGTGCAACACTTCCACTTAGTTGCTTATCACTTGCCCTGACTTCAGTTTTAAATTCTCTCATTTTGCTTGCATCAAGAATACGCGATATACAGTCTTTAAGAAGATTATTATGGAGCGTAGTTGGCTGAGCAAGTGTGCCTGAAAAAACCAACATTTAGGACTCTACTAAACAAGAGTAGTGCAATCAAGTTTGCATGAACAAAACAGGGGTAAGCTATTTACCTTGAATGGTCTGCGCAGCACTTCCACTTAGTTGCTTATCACTTACCCTGACTTCAGTTTTAAATCCTCCCAATCCTTGCATCAAGAATACGCGATACACAGTCATTGCTCTATAGGTCACGTCCTCGCGATGAGAATGTGTTAGAAACTGAACTACCTCGTTGCACTCGGAATTAATAGCACCTACATTAACAAGAACCACTAAATAATTAAACAAAACACAAAAGAGACCAGACTTATTCAGGAGTTCCATTTAGCAAACACCCAAAACAAATAACACACTTTTCGGATCAACTCCAGGAAAAAGGGCAGCCAGTTGAACATCATTGGCCATAGTTACAGAATCAACAAATAGAAGCTTTTGTAGCAGCTGTCGGTGATAGAAAAACAATGCACGCTGGATGAGAGGAGGACCATGTGGAAGTTGGAGGAGTGGCTCTAGAATTGCTTCCACCTCAGCCATAATCTCAGACTTGAGAACAGGAGTAGCACCTGGCACCTCATCAACTTTTCCAGATGCCACTATGAAATCTGAAATGGTATGACAAGTACACGAGGAAATCTGTCATTAACAAAATGATGATCACAAAAATGTAAGAAATCAATTACATTAGTGACTGCCACTTTCCAGGATAGCACCAATAGGGTACAAATCCTATCTACCCAACGAAATATCTACACATCAAATGCGCACGGCTACCAAGTTGAAGATACAACCACACCAACCAACTAATCAAGCAACTACAAAACTCTAAACAAAGACGGACGACCCTAAAAATAAAAACAAACAGATGATACAACCACAACATCGCGGTACGACGAAATGCCATTAAAAAGAAAAACCAGATCAAATAGTAACGGGGGCAGAAACAGGAAGATGCTGCTCCAAGCATTACTGGAAATCGTCAAGCCTTGTTGCTCTGAAGTACCAGTTGTTGGAGGAAGTGTTGCAGGTTCCTTGTTGCTCTGAAGCCAGCAGCTGTAGCTTCCATCGTACATAACTCGCAATTGGTTGTGCCTTGGAATTGAAGTCGGCCAGCAAAGGAACTCAGCTCGAAACAAATACCAATAACTTAAGAATCCTCTTCCTTCGGCGAAGAGCTCCAGCTGTCCCCCCGCCCCCAAATCGCAGGACAGAGCAGAAATACCACCATAACCATCAGAATGCAGGAGGAAGAAGACTTGTGGCTTCTCTGGATGCAAACAAGGTCGAAAGCTCGGGCGAAGCTCACACAACCGTGGTCCCTTCATCAACCCGACACATGATTTTCGCCAAGATTTACGGTCTTCTTCCAATCTCCACAGAGTCAATCTGATCTGTGAACGACCCGGTTGAACTCGATCTTCGAATACAATCGCGTGCAGGGCACCTTGTGATATGCCAATATCCCACCCCGGTTTCCCAAAGACTAGTGGAGGTTCAATAGCAGTGGGAGGTATATCAGGCCGGAAAGGATTAAAAGCAGCAATGAAAGGCTCCATAGGGTGATGCACAGCACCAGGATCTTGGTTTGGAACGCCATAACACCAGAACACCTCCCCGTTGCAGGAAACTACATTTCTGTCTACAAATTGACAATGCTCACGAAGAACAAGAATGTCCTTGGTCCATTCGCCTGAATCCGAACAGAACATATTTATCTTTGTACACCCCGCATGCACATATACACACACCACTCGAAATCGAAACTCAGAAGAATAAGCAAACACTTCCTCTCCTAGATCAAGATCATTAGAAATCCGGGGTTCGCAAACTAACCTTGTAAAGAAGTGCCAACACCCCGTGGGCAATTCGGGCGCCAAAGGGAGGGCGACCCATTGCTTAGTAAACGGATTGCAGAGTAAGTACGACCTGTACAATTCTGCGACCGGTTCGCTGTAGCCGCTGGCGGGACCCACATTCGAAAACCCGCATAGAACCAAGTCCTTGTAAGAATCCATTACCGAGAAGGAGCTGTGGGTACGTGAAGTAGTCATGGGGATAAAGCTCCTGATGATAGCTCGCGGGTCGTCCGAGTGTAGAAGGAGAGGAGGTTGCCGGTTCCTGCTCTGGTGGTGGGAAACGAAACGGCGATTGAAGCGGATTGGATCGGAGATGAGGGAATTCCATCGCTTGCAGACGGCTTTGCATCGACAGGTGAATCTGGGGTTCGGGAGGCGAATCAGGATTTCTACGAGGAGATCGTCTCCCAGTTGAACAATCGTCGTCGTCGTCGTCGTCGTCGAAGAGTTTACTTCTGTTGAGGCAGCCATTGAATAGAATAAAGACAGACTCCCGCCCAGCTGTAGCAGACGATAGAAAACTACGGAGATCGAAAACGGGCGACGGCCGTGGGCCAGTCAGCGTTAGGTTTTAAAAGCTTGGGCTGGGCTCTTTACGGATGATCCAATTTTCTCAAAAAAACGGAAAGGTTACAGCCCAGCCCATCAATATCATATATTGGTGTGTGGTCTGTGCCGTGACCCTGAAAGTTTGTTCCTTGTTAAAAATGATAGCCTTTTACATTAGGGATTTGGATTGGCAAAAAAAAAAAAACATTTTACGGGATTTTGACCTCTTTCCTAGTATCCCGTCGTCTGCTGCGCGATTCGTCTTCTTTGCTTCTGTTCCAGACTATCCATGGCGGCGAACAACAGCTCCTCGGCTTCTGATCGGCAGCTAAGCTCGTGGTTTTTGCCGTGCAGCTCCAGTAAACGACGGCGGATACATTCAACAGAAGTAAACTCTCCTCCTCCTCCTCCTCCGACGACAATCGTTCAATTGGGAGACGATCTCCTCGCAGAAATCCTGATTCGCCTCCCGAACCCCAAATCCGCCCGTCGCTGCAAAGCCGTCTGCAAGCGATGGAATTCGCTTATCTCCGATCCAGTCCGCTTCAATCGCCGTTTCGTTTCCCACCACCATAGCAGGAACCGGCAACCTCCTCTCGTTCTACACTCGGACGACCCGCAATCGATCATCACGAGCTTCATCCCCATGGACAATACATTTGCCCAAGACTCCTTCGCAGTAATGGATGCTCACAGGGACTTGGTTCTATGCGGGTTTGCGGATGCGGGTCCCGTCAGCGACGTCTACGGCAAGCTGGTCACCGAATTGTACAGATCCTACTTCCTCTGCAATCCGTTTACCAAGCAATGGGTCGCCCTCCCTTTGGCGCCCGAATTGCCCGTGCGGTGCGGGTACCACTTTGCAAGGTTAGTTTGCGAACCCCGTATTTCGAATAGTCTCGATCTAGGAGGTGACCGAGGCTTCTTTCATTCCGAGTATCGATTCCGAGTGGTGTGTCTATACCGGGATAAGAACTCTACAAAGTTGAACATGTTCTGTTCCGATACTGGGGAATGGACGAAGGACATTCTTGTTCTTCATCGGTATCGCCAATTCATGTCCAGAAATATAGTTTCCTGCAATGGGGAGTTGTTTTGGAGCTATGGTGTTCGAAGCCAAGATCCTGGTGATGTGCACCCGTTAAAGCCTTTCGTTGCTGCTTTTAATCCTTTCCGTCCTGATTTACCTCCCGCCGCCATTGAAACTCCATTGGTCTACGGGAAAGGGGGGTGGGATATTGGTGTCTCGCAAGGCGCCCTGCACGCGATTGTATTCGAAGATCGAATTGAACCTGGTCGTTCGCAGATCGCGTTGAGCGTGTGGAGACTAGAAGAGGACCGTAGATCCTGGAGGAGACTACGTGACGGGTTGATGAAGGGATCAATGTTGCGTGAACTCCGCACCTATGTTAGACCTTGTTTTCATCCAGAGAAGCCGGAAGTTTTCTTCCTCCGTCATTGTGATGGTACTGGTGATGGTGAAATTGCTGCTTTGTCCTGTGATTTCGGGGCGGGGGGAGAGCTGGAGCTCTATGTTAAAGGAAGACCATTCTTAAGTTATTGGAAGTTGTTCCAAGCTGAGTTCTCTTGCTGGCCGACTTTGATTCCAAGGTACGAGGAATTGCGAGTTATATATGATGGAAGCCACAGCTGTTGGGTTCAGAGCCAGAATGAGCCAACTACAAATCCTTCAATAGCTGGTACTTCTGCTTGTGAGTCTCTGCTAGGGTTAGTTATGCACTAATGAAATAACTAGGAATGCACGTGTTTTGGATATTAGAGTCAGAAAGAATGACGTTAGGACTATAACCCATCTCGTTTTATTGTATTCTTCTCTCATGTTTCTATCTGTGGCCTGCTTTCTAATGATACAACCGATCTTGTTTATGCTGTGGTTGCTTTAATAGCTGAGCTAACAGAAGAAGCAGAAGATGATGAAAGGCTTAGGAGGTCCTAAGAAGATGGCGTTAGAAGGATATTATTATTTATTTATTATCAATCAAAGGGGAAGGAGCTGATCAATTTGTATGATAGGTGCGTCTCATGTACTCAGGGTTATTTAACGTTGTTGAATTGCTAGTATTATCTAAAGATCGTAATAGTGTCAGTTTTGGGAAGTGTTGAGTTTCTCTTGTATTGTTTTTTGGTTAGTAAGCTCTTTATTGATTAACTATGGCTCGTCAACAAACAAAGCCTTTTGGTGAAATTTGTAACTTATATGTACGCTTCAACTATAACTACATCAAAAGAATCAAGCTGTCCCCTATTTGCCCTGTCATTTGTCATTGGAGAATCCTTGGGGTTAAAATACTGTGATGTGATCAGGACCAAGAGGTTAATATAAAAAAAGTCTTGAATCTTGTTTGTGCCAACCTCCCTTAGGATGAGATCATTGCTAATATTGGATTCGCTAGCTCCAACCTTGGTACTTAATGAGGGAACTCTACATTGGAGGTGTTCTCTTTCCTCGTCACTCCTATGAAGAATCAAGGTGAGGAGCAATTTTTAAAGGGAGTTTTTCTTATGTATGTAAATGTCTGTAAGTTTTTATATAGTAGAAATGTTTGCAAAGTTACAGTTTGGTGTTTTCACTTTTCAAAGGGAGGCTTGGAAGAGTTTTGTGTTTTGTTTGATGGCAAGGAGATTCTTATTAAGGCAGGGATTCAAGCAACAACCTTTATTATGTGTCTTTCCTCCTTTCAAATGCTCTCTCTATCAAGATGGACTCCCTCGTCCAGAATTTGTTCAGGTCAGGTGAGATAAACAAAAGACTGTTTCACTGTTGCAATGGTAACATGTTATGCATACCAGAACCTGAAGAGTTCAGTTGTTTCGTTGAGCGGTAAGTAGACTTTTTTTTTTTTTGTAGAAATAAGTAGATTTTTATTAAGGCAGTGATCAAGCAACAACCATCAGTATGTATCTTTTCCTCCTATGACTTGCTCTTACTAACAAAACAGAGTCCCTCTTGCAGAATTTCTTCCAGCCAGGTCAGATGAACAAAAGAATGATTTACTCGTGCAATGGTATGATGTTTTATGCATACCGAAATCCGGAGGGATTGTGGGAATCAGAAGTTTCAAGGATTTTTAGTTGACATTGCTTGGAATTTTTTAGGCCCTTTTTCCAATGCTTCATATATTTCTGTTAAAAGCTACAAGATAAAGGTAGTATATATTTCCATTGAAAGCTCAAAATGTATACACCTTTTTCAACTGAAAATGCAGGCTCACGTCTACAAGTCCAAGTTCAGAGCTTGTGCAGCATTTCCCGTGAACTAAAACCTGACATCATTTCTCATAAACATGCATTACAATTTCTAACTTGATCCATCATCATATTTCCCGATTGCAACAACACAGTCTACTACACCGCATAGGTGAGAGAAACATACTTCCTTCTTTCCCAAGTCCCCAACATTGATGATTGAGCAAATAGCAAGTGGTCTAATGGGCTAGATCAAAACATTGTTTTAGGTTGGTGCTCCAATCTGAGTATGGAGATGGTTAATGTTCTTGGACAGTGATTAGCAGTGATTGGAGTGCTGGAACAGATAAACACAATAGTACTTCAGATTACCTGTGGTACATGACAGAGTAAGTACCTACTAACATGATGATTTTTCAAAAGGACAGTCTTTCCGTCGACTGGTCTGGTTTTCAGATCCATATTGCATCTTTATGTCATCTAAGCGTTAACATATAGCCTGTTGTGAGCTTCCGCGGAAACGGGAAGTACCCATCGAGCATTTATCAGCTGGCCTTGCTTATCATGTTTGTCAATGGTTCCCTAGCAGGTGTGTGATGTTTATCTTTGTTCAAGTAATATTTTCTCGTTAAATAGTCCAGCTTGGTTAGTTTAATTAATTGTGTTTGCTTTATGACAAGCAGGAACTTCTTATGTAATCTAGAATTTCCAAAACTGTCTCAGTCAAGGTGTCAACTTGAGAGCTGGTACCAACAGAATCGCCTTCTCAGCATGCTGTCAGTATGGTGGTTTGTCTCTATCCTCTGTCTTGGTATCACTTGTAGGGAAAGAGCACATTTAATACTTATCTCAAAACTTGTTATTCATTACTCCAATGTAGAATGTTGGTCTGCTGCATTCTGAGACATGGAATGCTGGTATACTCAGGCTGGTGACAATGAATGGCTCTCAGCACTGCTGTCGGTCTGCCATATAATACCTATCTCAACGCTTATTATACAGTGTGCCAATGTGAAATGTTGGTCCGAGTTCGAGACATGCAATGCTGCTAATACTCAAGCCAGTGCACAAAGTTTATTTTTCATCCAAGCTTATGTATCACTGTTATTGGCTTGTGTGTGCTGATGTCAATAGATTGGTCTCAAGTGCAAACAGTTGAAGCCTTTTCCTATTCTAGTTTGATAAGTTGATGTCATATGTGCTGATGAATTACCAAATCCAGGCCTCTGGCGTATTGAACAAGTGAGGCCCAAAGTGAACTCGTCTTGTGGCCTGTGGCAGAAGCTACCATTCAAGTTGGCAAGTTTCACGGCACAAGGGACCTATGGAAGTCAACAGGAAGCGAGCCGTCATTGCCTTGCACTCATGATGCTCTTTACAGTGGATGAGCCGTCATTGTCGTGCAGCTCGTGTTGCGTTGCTGCTATCTGAGACCCGTGCCCCAGCATCATGAAGAAGGAATAATAGTTCAAAGTTTTGAATCCATGTTATTCAGTTGCTCTGTTCCCCTAGACAAATCCCTATATTGTACAGCGTCAAGGATTGTCAGTTGTTACTGGCTATATTTGTGTCATTTGTGATAGGAACTTCTTCAGCTATATTGTAAAACGTATACAAGCGCAGAACTAATTGAAAACAACATTATACTTTTCTGAACCTGTGTGTTCCCACATTTCCTTCATTTATTGAATCAAAATTTGATACGAAAGAATGAAATGAAGTTCAGCGTTCTTTGAAACAGCTCAGTATATACCTAGATAGGTATTACAAAGTTTTCTAACAAAAATGAATCAAAAAGCCACAACAGTGAGTCAGTGATTAAACAAAATCTGAGCGAGAATTTGGTTGCTTAAAGAAATTGCGTATTCACAATCACATGATTTTAGAGACCAAGTACTTTCTCTGTTCTAAAAATATCAGAGATTTCCAACCGTCAAAGACCCTTACGAGGCTAAGCCATGCCTCCAAAATAAACCTCTAAGGTTCAGGCTAAGAAATACTGTTCTGAGCCGCAGCAGACAGATATGGCAGGCGGAAATGACTGCCTACCAAATCGAAAACATGATCTCAGAAAATGTTGTAAAACCAGTCAGTCAAATATCAGGAACGGCCATTCTTCCTTCCCTTCAGTTGTGAGCTTCAGTTTCTATACTAAACATCATTTGAGCCATGACTTTCTCCATCGGCAGCAGCTGCAGCTGCAGCTGCAGCTGTAGGAGGGAAAAATTTCAATATAAGACATCAATGACCAAAGTTAAATGCTAATCAAACATCAAAAGACTAGAATAGAAATACAACTATTCTGAACAAATAGACTATTACCTTGACCAATAGCAGCATTGTCGACCGGCTGCACAGGATCTACCACATCTTGCACTATATTAACTAAGACAACACAAACCAAGGAAAAAAGTACAAACCACTTTATCAATAAACCAATGCAACATCAAACAAAATAAAAGAACAAAACATAACAGTCAACACAACAAAAATACCTGGATCATCATGATTAGCAACCTGCTGCACAGGATCTACCTCATCCTGCACTATGTTGACTAAAACAACAAGCCAAGGAAAAAAGTACAAACCAGCTTATCAATAATAAACCTATGCAACATCAAACAAATAAAAGAACAAAACATAACAGTCAGCGCAACAAAAATACCTGGACCATAAACAGCAGAGTGTGCAGAATGGGCTTGAATATTCTGGTTAAGTATCTCAACACCAACAGGAACTTCATCTGGAAGAACTTCAAGATGGGCATTTATAGGGCCATTCACGGAAGGAACAGACTGAGCATCACCAACTAAAGAAAAATAGAAATAAGAATGGAAGCCAACCAAAAAAGGACTACTACATCAAATAATATCATTAAGTTGTTCAGATCCTAAGCCTTCTACCTCCAGCACCTCCAGCAGAATTAGAATTAACGGAAGCATTCAGCAGGCCATTCACCGAAGGAATTGATTGTGCACCACCACCTAAAACAACAAAGAGAAATAAGACTGCAAACCTACCAAACCAGATACAGAATTAAAATTGAGGAGCATTCAGAGGACCAACAAGCAGTGGGTTGCCACCTGTGCCATAATGATTATTTAAGAATGATTTCAAGTTTAAAATTAAATGACAGTAAACAATTATTTGGATCATTAGCAGGTTCTCGTGTAATGAAAATGGATCATTATAAAAGTAATACCATGATAGATTTCACATAAGCTTTTACTTCCAGCAGATGCAACTGCAGTAGCACCAAAACCAGGACAAAAATTCAACGAGTGCGAAAAATTTACCTAGCGGGATGTCCATCAACCTAATCTCAGTTTCCAATTGATCAACTCTTCGCATCAAGTACACATGATAGGAAGTAACAGCCCTAAATTCCACATTAGGGGGACCAGGATGCATTAGATAAGTATCAGCCTCTTCACACTCAGCCTCTACAGCAAATTTCTCAGCATTTAGCAATGCGACTCCTACATCAATAAGACCACAGAAGTAACTCAATTAAACAATACCAATGCATGTAAATATAACAATTCAAAAGTACCAGTTTGCACCCACTGGATGAAAAGTCACCTTCGAGATTATCAAGCTCTGGCATAGGAACAACCAGAATATCAGCAAGATTCTCAATTTCAATTTTGTTCATTTGGCCTTCATCATCCACAACTACTAAGTCAAGATACTTCAGCTTTAGCAATAGCAGTCGACGATAAAATGCAGCAGCACGAGTGACCAGACAATCATCAGGAGGAAGACGCACAATAGGCGCAGCTGCTTGATTAAGCTCAGCCCTGATATCAGCCTTCAGGACAAGATTAAGAACTGGTCCAATTTGAACCTCATTCTCTTGATCCGACATCGATAAAATCACTGTAACAGGTGGGTAAAATAATATACGTTATTGCTAATCATTGACACAACCTAAAAATAGCGAAATCAGTACTAAAAAAACAAAAACTAGACCAAAGATCTACATAGCAAGTCTACACGGGAAGTACCAAGGTGAGCATTAGAACAAACAGTTGGTCACTAATACCATAACTGGATTTTCCTATTATAGGACAACAAACACTCGGAGCAAAGGGGGAAATGCTGAAAACAAAAACGAGCACTGGATGATACAACGAACCAAGGGCATACCACTAAAGAAAACAGATAACCGTGAACACAATGTAAGATGAGCCTGAAGAGAACTAATCAGCACGGCTGGTAGTTCTTCTTAAAGCAGTATAGGAGGGAACATCACAACATTATACGGTTTATACCAAAAAACCTAGAGCAACACGAAATTCCACCTAAGAAAACAGATCTCGTGTAGCTAAATGAAAGTGACAAACATCACAAATATCAGGATAAATATTGCTCTACGTTCAAATAAGATGAAGATCGAACACTTCCGACGTAAATATACATGCGAAGATCTGCAATTGACAATCTAGCTTCCGAATGTAAGAACGAATATACATTAGCGATTACCGGTTCAAGAAAATCAAGATCGTTAGAGAACAAAGTTCATCTAACCAACGAAAGATCGGTATAGCAAAATCGCACGCTTACGAAGGGAAAGATTCAACAAATCCAAGCAACTACAAAACTCTAAACAAAGACAGCCGACGCTGGAAATCAAAACAAACAGAAAATACAAACACACAACACGGCGCTACAACGAAATGTAACTTGAGTGACGGGAGACCTGATCAAGTAGCTGCTGCGCAGAGTCCGTCGATCGATCGCCTTTCCTCCGTTGAAGTAGCTGCTGCGACGAGTCGGTCGATCGATCGCCTTTCCTCCGTAGAAGTAGCCGATGCGACGACGCCACTCGAGCAAACACCCAGACACAGCAAAATAGCAAGCGCAGGGGAGAGAATATGACCGAGTTCGTATATAGCGCGAGATTTGGCCTGAAGGGTTTAGAAGGAAGAAAATTCCATTAATAAGAATAGAACGGGGTTTAACCGAATTATTAAGAAACAAGACGTCCGAATATGTAAATACAGTTAATGGGCTGGGCTCAATTAGAAAAAGGCAGTTAGTGGGCTCGAGTTTTCAACGGAACGGAGCCTAGCAAATCCACGGACCGGCTATGAGCAAAACGGATTTCTCAAATTTCTTTTTACCTTAGGTCACACCAAAATCACAAAAAAGTGTTCTTAAAAAAAAAAATCACAAAAAAGTAATTGTGCCGAAATAAGTTGTAGAAAATCAAACAAAAGACCGACCTGATTGCCGAAGACCTCATCTCTGCCGGAACAGAAGAACCTCCCTCTCTCCAGGATGAACATCGCTTCAATCCGGATGTTCAAAAACCAGAACGGACAGAAGAACCAGAAAAGAATTGAACACTTTCATGAAAGAAGTATTGTTCAGATTACTCGTATCATCGTTTGAAGAAATGACCTCATTTTTTTTTTTTTTTAATAAGAGAGTAGCGAGAGAGCTTGAACAGAGAAGAACAAGAGGAAGAGGGATAAAAACCCTAGGAGATAGAACGAACAACGATAGCTCTAATTTTATAGCAAGCAAAAGATCGGGCCTCCGTTTTTTAAATGGAATGAAAAGGTAAAGCAATCAATAGATAAACGTTATTCCTGGAATGTATACCAAGAAATGAACGGCTAAAACGGGGTCAAAGTTCGGTGGGCAATAAATAATTATATAAATATGGAAAATGACACACCACCACCCTTGAAATCCGGCCGGTGGGAATAAAATATAGCTAAAAGAACGTATTTACCATCCCCGGTACCGTGTTCCGTTCCGTTCTCCCACGCCGCGCCCGACGCAAAGAAATATCAAATCGATCACCTATTCAGTTCCTCCAACTAGGGATGGCAATGGGTCGGGTTGGGTCGGGTTTTGCCAAAACCAAACCCAAACCCATGGGTTTATCTTTGAAAAAAACCCGGGGTAAAACCCACTGGGTTTGAAAAACTCAAACCCAACCCAACCCGTTGGGTATCCGCGGGTTCATGGGTACTCACGGGTTTTGTCGTAAAAAAAATTACAATTACAAGTTCTTATCAAAATTAAAGTCAAGTATCAATCTCTCAATACAAATTATCCATATATAAAACACCATTCTAGAAAATTCAAGCAAATCACAAATAAACTATACAAATTGTTCAACACTAATATAGAAAACTCAAGAAAATGGAAGCAAATCACAAATTATTCATAAATAACATGTTTAATTGAAAACTTCTTCCTTTCAATTAAGTTTCTTTACTCTCCACTCCATAACATCAACTTCATTCTACACAATTAAAAAGAAAAAATTAGACATGTCTCCACAAACATAAATAAGATTAGTTGTTTAGAATATTAAATATACCGAAAAAATTAATTATATGAGTGGGCGGGTACCCACGGGCCGGGTTTACCTAAACCCAAACCCAACCCAACCCGATGAATAGTGAACGGGTTTAAACCCAAACCCGACCCAAAACCCGTCAACACGGATTTTACCCGCGTTGACCGGGTTGGGTCGGGTGGGTACCCGTGGGTTCGGGTTTTGTTGCCATCCCTACCTCCAACAACACGGCACGACATTCAAAGCCTTGAAAACCAGATAGGTTATCGCTTTTCGTGCAATTTGGACCGCTAGATCGCACTGCAATTCCTAGCTTGGGTAACGGGCAGAACTGTTCATAGTTCACCAGACGAAAATTTAACACTCACGTTAAATACACATTGAAAATTAAATACCTCATATTAATTACTTATTTTTTTCAAATTTAAATATACTCTAAATACAATTCTCTCTCCGAAAAATAAGTAATCCACTAATCCTTCTTCTCACCTCCCTCTACCACCGTTATGATCTTTTTATTTCTGATTTTTCAGATTTAGCTTTTTGATTTGCAGTTGTGGTTTTTATACCATTGCACTTATATTTGTACCACTGCACTTAAACTTAGATATGATATTTTGTACCCGTGCACACTGGTAGCGTTACCAATGCCATAACTTTGTGCTCCAAAATTCGAACGTCGTGATTTTTTTTCCCCATTTCGCATAACTTTTTAAGTCCTACAACTTTTATCATAGAGATAATTTTGTAATGTACGTGGATTTGTGAAAATAGAAGGTAAAGTTATTCCCAAAACCCGATATATCCAAAAATAATTTCTGTTTTGAAATTCCATTCCTAGTAAACATTATAATCCTTAAAAACTTATGCGAAATGAAATAAATTCATGACATTCGAATTTTGGAGCACAAAGTTATAGCTGTTCAAAGTTATTGGGGTTTTTTTAGCGTTAAAGGGGTAAAATTTTGTCAATGTGTAATTATTTCAACAAAAGAGTTGTAGTTTGGTGGTGTAAATGTTGTGTTAAATTTAGTTAACTATTTATTATCTGAGTTTGAAGTTTGAACCACCACCTCCACAACATGTGGCTTTTTTTAATTTCTACTAAATAAAAAGATTGAATATGGTAAACCGCCAGGTGGGGTGTGGTTTGCTACCAAACCGCCCCCGGCCTCATGCAGTCAGCAAAACCGCTCTTTACCAGTGCGATTTTCGTCAAAAATCGTGCCTCCACCCAGCGATTTTTGTGATTGGGTTCTATTTTTGTAAAAAAAAAAAATAGTATTATTTCTGGGGAAATTCTCTACTCTTGGTTATGCCAATTTCGATGGCTTTCTCAAAATGTACATCAATCTCGTGTCTCCCATTGCTGTAATCCGATTCACCAGCTTTCGTAATATAGCGTAGTTTCAAAATTTAGAATAGTCCAGTTGTCTTGATATCCCCTTAGTTAGCATTACAGAAGTAATTGGGTGGTTTGGCAAACATGTAATCAAAATATATGAGTATAAAGATATAAAGTATTTTGTAGGTAGAACTGTAAAACATTACGTTATGTCATAATACTGTTTTTATTTACACAAATTATTATACGAGCTATGATGAGCATCATCCAATGGTCTCAATAGGTCATAGTGACTTAGTAAGCCTCAATTAACCAAGATTTAGAATTTTGATAACTAACACAGTGAACTCTTCATCATAAGCCTCAGAGTGGCTCTCGACCTTTCTTGCTTCCTTTCCACTTAAATCATCACTACTTAAGTCTTTTACATGAGGCCGCTCAAAGTTTGAACAACATAAATATTCATTCATTCACTTCTATCCATATTCCATACTGAATGTTTTTTCAAAGGATAGAATCTGAAACTGAATTTCCATCATTTGCAACTTCACTCCCCCCAGCAAGAAGCATACAGCAAGCGCCTAGTTTGTTCAGCTTGATATCAAGCTTCTATTTGGCGAGCTTTATCAGTAGGGTTAGAAACAGTTCCTTCCCATAACTCGTCTAGTTCTCTCCTGATCCAGGAGATAAGAACCACAGGTCCCAATGTAGAAGGAACCTGCATTAGTCAAAATACATTTGAGGATATGAAGTTACCAGACAAACCTGCATTAATCAAATCGATGGCTAATCTCAAATCTAATATGTACCAGGTAAAGAAGAGCAGGTTGGGGAGACTGAGTCAAGACGCCAGCTGCTAATGCAGTTATTAGACCAATGGCGTATCCTGGGAGAGCATACCAGATGTATTTATGGCCCTTGGACGAATGTAGTTCCAGAAGAGATACTGTATCTCTGCTCTTTCTATGATCAAAGCAAAGGACTAGCGCCAGAAGCATAGCTGGTATAGCCTGCAAGAGACAAATTAAGCATGTGGACATAAAGAACAATATTCTTCACCATGGATCAAACACTCTCAGATACAAGTCGCATAAGCTGTACATAGTGCTTGTGATCTACATTTAACATGATGCTGAATGGATCTGATATGCTGATAACTTTTTAATTGTTGAAGCTAGTCATTGTGTATTCATTACTTGCATTTGTATTGCCTATGGTCATCCTAGAGATGCTATGAGATAGTACACAACTACAGAGATCTACAGAATCAAGCAACAAAGTACGGTATGCATAAAGAGAAGATGCTGCTTATGATTACTGAGAGACAAATCAAGGAATGACCTCACTAGTATGCATGACAGCAGGGAAACAACAGATATTTTAACATAAGCTGCATCAACCCAGCAGTCATAATCTCTCTAGGAATGATATAAAACCTTTCTTCTTCATTTTTCTAACCAAGAAATAGAATGGAAGAAAGGAAGCTAAACTATATACATTAACTATAGCACTGCTGTTTCGGAAAGACTAAAAAATTGAGCCTGCAGTACCATTGAGAGCTTCAGAGAAGATTATTCAAGCAGAAAAATGATTCAACAAGATGCTGTATTATCAGGGAAAGCTCACCATATCTCCGAGTCCAAGCATCATGAAGTCAGAAGCAGTTCCTCCATAAAATGTGCTACCCAACAAGTTCCTCGGAAAGATTATTTTAACAGGCAACTCGAGTTTCTTTGTGATCAACTGCAAGCCTGGAAGGCTCAAACTGTTGGCAACTGTATGAACAGGATTGGAAGCCTGTTGTGTTGCCACTGATACCATGACGTTGGCACCAAAGAATCTCTCGGAAAAGAACACCCAGAATATGTCATATACAAACAAACACACTAGCAGCATTGCACATATCTTGATGTTGGGAAGCCTGACATGACTGACAAAGGCAATGCAAATAGAAATTCCCAATAGATTGTTCAATATCCAGTGCCCAGAAACAAGCCATGCAACAACTGTTACTATGCAAGCCGTCAGGAGTAACCCCTGGATCCGAGAGAAGGGCTTTGAACAGCAACGTGAAACAAAAGGATCCGAGAGACCAAAATATGACTTCAGATAGGCGGCATAAGGAGAGGCACAGAAGTAGAGTGATGAAACAGAGGCAACGGCTGTGAATGCAGTGAGCAGCTGTGAAACCGAAGAAAACAGGTAAAACATCAAAAGCAAGCTGCAAGAGCTCATCACCGGGATCATCAGTGCTTGTGAACTATCTAATGTGATGGAAGCTTCTGATAAGTCACGATTTCTTTCCATTTCTTTTCCGTAGTTTAATGCTCGAAACGCTGATCCAAATGTGACAGCTACTGCCGTCAGCATGAGGGTAACAGGTGCAGGCTCCAGCAAATAGAGAAGCTTCCATAAGGACTCCATTAGAACCCCCTTTTCAGAATATTGATCTCAAACACCTTCTTTTCCCCGTTTCACAAGTCGACACTGACACCCTTGCCTCGTGTCACCTATTCTGTGACCAAAGTTGCAATCTTTCTCTGCTGTGTAATAGACAACAGAAATGCATGGAGCCTGCAAAATGCCTGTCCAAAATATTAAACCAAATCAGCATCACAAACACCAAATACACCATCTTTAAGGTCTAAAACCACAATGGTCGGAAAAGAAAACTTGAGACCGCAAATAAACACCATCACATGTATAAAAAAAACAAGCAGGTTGAGTTACACCAAATTGAAATCAATTCTCAATAGTTTTCCTTCCAGCATCCCTGAGTTCAACCTTCTTAGCCAAGACAAAATCGCTATTCCGAGCATAATGTTAAGAGAGACAAACCCACCTCCACATTACCAAATTTGCAATGTTTGCCAAGGGAAACACAAATTTTCAAGATGAATAACAGAAAACGGAAAAGTATAACCCAATCAAACTCCACACTACTCCTCTCCTTCCCCATTTTTCCACCGATCGGCAAAGAGAAGAAGCAAAAAGCGCCAAAATTCTCAATATATTCTCTTCCTCCCCATTTCCCACAAGCACCAACAAACAACGGACAGTCAATCAACTACCCATAAATTTCCGCCCTAGGGCACAGTCTAGCGGAAGCAATTACATGTAAAAGCAAATGAATTAGGAGACCATTTCCAGAGCGAAGATCTGGATGGAGCAGGAATTGGGAGTCAGAAATTAGGGTTCGAAGCGATGAAGAGAGGTGGGCGGAATCCTGGAAATGACTAACCTTGGACTTGCTTGGGGAATTTCACAGTCACGCAGAGCTCCAAAAGCTCTGAACACTGGCTCGCTCGCTCGCAGTCGGCTCAACTCCTCATTCTCTTTTCTCTAACCAAAAGATTTTTTTATTTAATTCTACAAAAGATCTTTATCATTGAATCTGCAGCACAGATAGCGCGTACCGTTTTCACATCTCAGTATCGATAAGGCAAACATGAATTTTGACTTTTCTGATCCAAGAAGACCGACGCATCACGGGGCCCAGCCCAGTGAATGGATCACATATGAGCCTGTAAATATTGGGCTTTCACAGTAGATATTTTTACCACAAGACAAGCCCGGCACGGAGATGGTTACTTAGAAGATAGAAACTAGAAAACCACAATTTTTCTTTACATACTTCTACTTGCTTCCACTTGTGAGTTGTGAGAAGATTGGCGTACTAATTCTGGTTGTCAAATTATTGGTATGTCGGTAGGTACAATCAGGTTCCATCAATATTTGATACAAATCGGATGGAAGACCATCAGGATGAAGCGATAATCAAAATGGGTAAAAAGGTCAAGTCAAAATTCGTAAAAACGTCATTCGATGGAATTTTTTTTTCTTTTTTTACAAAAGATAATCTTATATTGATTGATAAACGATAGTTACACCCTGGAAGTCAGCCAGGTCTGAAAATCAAAGAAATGGCACATAGTCGGGTACAAAGAAAGGGTCTTTCTAGCTACCATATGAGCTACCCTATTATAACACCGACCTACGAATCGAACACTAAAACCAGACTGGGTAGCAAAAGACTGTACTACTTCCTCAAGAACAGCACCCATCTGGTTATCTCGGACGTCCGCCTGCTTGATCTTATCAATAATCACCTTGGCATCACCCTCAAATCTGACCACCTTAAAACCCTGGTCCAGACACCATAACATGGCTTCACGTAGGACGAGCAGCTCCACCACAGCAGGGTCATCAATGCCAGGAAACTGAACTCCTTTAGCCAATAGGATATCCTGAGCCGGTGTCAAAATGACCATCCCCCAGCCGCGTGAGAACCACTCCTCATAGCCCCGTCCCACATACAAACAACCGAATCAGACTCTACTGGCACCACCCGCTGCATCCTTGGGCAAGAGCCCGAAGGTTCCGGACACCTTGGCAACCTTATCCATTCCTCAAGTTGCTGATTATATTGCCGCATAAGAGCTGGGATCCCAAACTGTATGCCTTCAAAGACAACCCAGTTCCGAGATCGCCAGATCCGCCAAAGAATGGCAACAACTGCCATACTCAAATCCAGCTGATGTATCAAAGCCAACAGCCTTTTAAGAAATAGGGGAAAGGTATGACAAGGAAGCCCCTCGCCAAGGTAGTCCAACCCAGAATAACCCCAAAGGGCGCGGGCCACCGGACAATAGAGGAACAAATGCTCCATTGTTACGGGGGCATCCCAGCAGACCGGGAATCGAGGAAGCAACATAACTTTCTTCTTAATGAGAGCTTCTGTAGTTGGCATGAAGCGGTTAAGAATATGTTAGACAAACACCTTATAACGGATAATATTATGGCCGCTTTTGAATGTTTCCACACCATGAAAAAGAAACAGAAAAGTGGCGGCCAAGGTCTATTTGCTGCAAAGATTGACATGGCAAAAGCATACAACAGGGTGAAATGGAGTTTCCTGGAGATGATGATGAGCCGAATGGGGTTCTCAGAAAAATGGAGTAGACTGGTAATGATGTGTGTAACGATAGTATCATACTCTGTCTTGGTCAATGGACATCAATCACCGAGCTTCAAGCCAAGTCGGGGATTGAGACAGGGGGATCCTTTATCGCCATATCTGTTCCTCCTGTGTGCTGAAGGCCTGTCTGCATACACAAAGGCGGCCGCAGTGAAGAAACATATTCATGGCATCCAGCCGGCACGAGGAGGTCCAACAGTAACCCATCTATTTTTCGTTGATGATTGTGTTTTCTTTGGTAGGGCGAATGAACAGGAGAGTTTGGCACTGAAAGAGATAAAAAAAAGGCATATGAGAGAGAATCCGGTCAGATGGTAAGCTTTCAGAAGTCAGAAGTTTCCTTTAGTGGCAATGTTAAAATTCATAAGAAGCTGTTGGTGGTCGTTACCCTGGGAATGCAACTGGTCGAGAAGCATGAGAAGTACTTAGGCTTACCAACTGTTGTGGGAAGGTCGAAGAAAGAAATATTTCAGGGGATAAAGGAGCGGGCGAGGAAAAATTTGAAAGGGTGGAAAGAAAGGATCCTTTCGGTTGCAGGAAGAGAAACTCTCATTAAAGTTGTGGCTCAGGCACAGTTTACTTATGCAATGTCAGTATTCCGCGTTCCTGATAACGTCCTCGATGAAGTCCACAGTATGATCCTGAACTTCTACTGGGGGCAGAGAGGCACTGAACATCGTATCCACTGGGTAAGTAGAGAAGGGATGTCGATACCGAAGGAAGAAGGAGGTCTGGGATTCCGCGACTTGGTTGGTTTTAACACTGCCTTGCTAGCCAAACAGCTGTGGCGGCTTCATCAACAAGAAGGTTCCCTCATTGCTCGCATCTTCCGGGCGAAATATCATAAGAAGGAGTCGATCCTGGACACTCGACTTGGCCACCGTCCCATTTTATTTGGAGGAGCTTAATCAGCGCGCAAGAGTTTCTAAATGAAGGGTTACGATGGCGAATAGGTAATGGCTCCAGTGTGAGGATTTGGGGCGACAAATGGCTCCCTACGGAGTCGGCCAGTTATGTTGATTCAGCATAGAGAGGTTTGCCGGTGGATGCCACTATTAGGGAGCTGATTTGTGAAGAGGAGGAGAGAGGGGACGATAACCTGCTGGAGAGTTGCTTTTCTCCAACGACTGCAAACCTTATTCGCCAAATCCCTCTCCGTGAACTAGCGGAAAGGGATCAATTGATCTGGGCAGGGAGTAAGAATGGGGATTTCACGGTCAGAGAAGGTTACATGAAATATAATGGGCGCAAACTAAAATCATAAATGGGGAGTGGCCTCGATTCGGTGAAGAGGAAGTTTGGAAGAAAGTGTGGTCGATCACAGTCCCGCTGAAGGTCAAGCACTTCCTGTGGAAATTTGCTAGGGATATCCTCCCTACGGGAGACCACCTTAGTACGAAGAGTACGAGAAGATGAAGTATGTGTGCTTTCTGCAATGAAAGAGAAACTCAGCTCCACTTCTTTTTCGACTGCCAGTGGACGTCAAGATTGTGGAGACAGTCGCCTCTTGCTCCTTGTTTTTCTATACCAAACGGTGGCTCATGCTATGAGTGGCTCGAGAATGTGAAAGCCTCGATGGACGACGAAACAGTAGGGGAATGGCGGCTCTTCTATGGTTCTTGTGGAAGGAGAGAAACGCTCACATGTTCAATGGGAAAAAACTTGATGAAAAAGAAATCATTCCTCGTGCACGTGCGTTTCTGTCGGACTATAAGCAGCACCAACAACAAAAGAGGAACGAAGTGCTAATCGAGGGAGGTGGGAAGTGGATGAAACCTAATTATGGAATGATAAAGATTAACACGGATGCTAGCATCATGAAGGGAGTCGACGCTGAGGATTGGGAGCAGTGGCTAGAGATGCTGACGGGAAGTTTGTCTTTGCGGCGGCAAAACGAGTACCGGGTAACTAGCGGTTGAGATGGCAGAAGCACTAGCTGCGGAATTTGGCCTTAGGCTTGCCTTTCAGCTGCAGGTCGGGCCCCCGATCCTTGAATCGGATTGCTTGAATCTAATGATTATTCTCCATGACGTGCATGGCACACAAACAAAGCTGGGCATTATATGCCGTAATATACGTCGTCAGCAAATGGGTAATGGAAGTTGGCGGCACAGTCCCCGGACAGCAAATGGAGTCGCGCATTTGTTGGCGCACGAGGAGACAAATTGGAACGAAAGAATGGTATGGATAGAGAGGCCTCCTGCTTTTGTGAATGAACAGCTTAAGGTGGACTCTGTATCGATTTTGATTCATTAATAAAAGCCCACTCCAGGTTTCGTTAAAAAAAAAAGAGATTTGGCGGGAGGAAACAGAAGTGAGAGAAAGAGAAAGAGAAAATTTTATTTAATATATTTTTGTAACTTCCTAAAATTTAATTTATCAAAAGTAATAATTAATAAATATTTTGTTTCATACCCAATTTGCCCTTAGTAGCCATGAGGATTACTACTTCATAGTAATCACTATAACCGCTCCATAGTCTGTATGAGTACGACACAACATGATCACTATAAAATAATTCTGCCTAATAGTATTTAGTTAAATTATCATAAGTATTTATCTACTTTATCCACCATGAAATAATAATCAATTGACCAGATTTGCATGATTGGTCAATTGGATCACAAATTTTTCTACAAAATTTAATTGATTGATGATATTGACGATATTACCTAAAAATATATAGTACATGTGTAAATATAAGAAAACTCATATGTGTTGAGATTGTATTTATAATCTCGATTTTGTTTGCAATCAGACTTTTTTTTTTTTGTTTGTCTCGCGACGAGACAAGAATCCGAATCATATTTCAATAGTGATTGGATATAGTAGTTTATCATTTTAATATGTAAGGATGGGTATTCAACATTCCTATTGCTCCCGTACCCATCAAACAACCCAAGAAACTGAAAGGTCATCTCTAGTGGTTGATTAACATAAATGCTGCTTCATAAAGTCAAGTTGGCAAGTTGGGTTAGGGCAAGATCTTCGTATACGTTCAACATCATCTGAACTTAATTAATCTATCCACCAAGACCACAAGTAGAAGGAGAAAACAACCTCCACCACCACACCATAGGACCACCCCAACCAAGTCTGCAAGTGCACGCATAGCCAACTTCTCCCTGCGGGAGAAATGCCTGTCTTCGGCGTTACTGATAGTTTTATACAAATCTCCTTTGTTTTAATAAGAAATAAGTCAACATACAATAATTAATTACATATATTAGTGTACAACGTTCTCTCATGAAGTCCATTTGTCAAAGAACAAGGGTCCACGAGCCGGACTTGATTGCAGCAAGAAACAATTTTTTGTTTTTTAGCCCGTTTAGTATTGTTGATTGTTTTTTTGTCTGTTTTGTTTTATGAAATTTGGAAAACCAAGAAAAAAAAATCGTGTTTAGTTGGATTTTTATTTTCTGTTGTGAATCAGAGTTGCACAACAAGGCCCAAATATGAGAAACAATAATTTATTGCTTTGGATCTTATTCTTAAACATGTTGCACACGAGATTCCTACTGGTTGGGCACTTGATTTCATTAAACCAGACCACTTTTCGAATCCCCACAGAAGCAAAAAAAATTTTTTTTTTAACTCAGCCCCCCCCCCCAAACCCTACTTCAACATATCACTATCAGCCGCCCCCCATACCATTTTCCATCTTCTTCTCGACGACAGAGGAGTTCACCTCCGAAGGTCGCCCTCGCCCAGCCTCCGGCGCGACCCCCCCGCCTCCGCCCGGCGACGCCTCGCCTCCGCCCAGCGCCGCCTCGCCTCTGCCTAGGGGTGGGCAACCGGTTCGGTAAACCCGAACCGAACCGAACCGAAACCGAATTAAACCGAACCGAAACCGAACTAATGCTATTCGGTTCGGAATTCGGAAGGAAAATATGGATATTTCGGAAATCAGGGTTCTTTCAACCGAACCGAATTTCCGAATTTCCGACCGAAAAACCGAAATACTGTAATTTCAAGCTCAAATGGTGGATTTTTATGTTTGTATTTGTTTTTAGACATAAATATTTGAAATGTTTTATTACTTATGTGTTTAAAAGTTTGATTTTATCATTGATGATGCATATAATTACATATTTATTGTTTATATTAAGGGTGAAAAATAATTTAAAAGTGAGAAGATACAAGTAGCCTCTCAATTTCGGTTTTGTGTATAAAACCGAACCGAACCGAATTATAATTCGGTTTAAACTGACCGAACCGAATTTTAATTCGGTTCGAATTCGGTTTGGGGTTTGGGAGAATTCGGGGACCCGGTATTCATAATTTCGGTTCGGTCGAAACCGAACCGACCGAATGCCCACCCCTACCTCTGCCCGCCGCAGCCCGCCGACGTCCGCCCGCGCAACCGCCGCCGACGCCCTGCCTCCGCCGCCAGTCCGTCGGCCGCCGACCACTTCCCCTCCATAAACGCCTTACTCCATCTCTTTTCTGGTTTTTAGTTCTTATAGTAGTAACTAAACGCGTTTTTGTTTCTTGTTTTCAGTTTTCATGATTTATCAGATTTATCAACTAAACAGGTTTGTGTTTTCTCTTTTTTCTTCTGTTGTGGTTGTACATCTGTTTACACAACACCACTGCAACCACAACAGCAACAAAATGATACTAAACGGGGCCTTAGAGTACCATAATGGTGGTTGTTATAAACGCGTTGCTATGGATCGGGAAATCGCTGGAATCGACAAAGCAAGAATACGAAAGCGAGAATCAAAAACACGACAAACGATTTACGTGGTTCACTAACACGATGTGTGTTAGCTACGTCCACGGGCGAGAGAGAGTCCTTTTCACTATATCGAGGAGATTACAGATTACAGAGGAGTATGAGAAGTATTTATAGTACTTATCCATGTGGGTCTAAACCTAATCCAATATGGCAAAGGAAACGGTTACAAACCAGGTCCAGAACCCGAATCCAAATAACATTGAGCCCATACACCGCAGCTGATAGTCCGATTCAAGTCACACCAACAGTAGTAAATGTAACATCCCGACGGTTTTCATTTGTGGTGCATATTAAGATGACTTCCCATAAGTTTACTCATCTTTACAGTCCTCTATGTTGAGCACATTTAACTTCAGATTCTTAAAAGAACTCCTCCATTTCAGTACAAAACGCATATTGTCAATTAAGGTTGGTTTTTTATAGGGGTGACAAACGGTAAGTCGGTAAACCGTTTACCGGTGGTATCGGCAGCCGAGGGTCAAATGGGAAAGTTCGGTTTACCGGACCCAGTATCGGTAAATACCGACGGTAATTCGGTAGTACCGATACCGGACCAGTTAAGGCATTAACTAATAACATATACTTCATTATTCACAAATATTACATACATTAATGAAAGTAAGTAAGTATAGGACTAAAAAATAAGAGTTAATAATAATTTATTAATTACAAAAATGAAGAAAAAACTCAGAAAAATCAAAATATTATAACATCACCCCATTGCCCAGAAATTCGGTTCGGTAATTTTCTGGTAAACCGAACCGAAAATCCGTCCGCAACTACTCTTTACGGTAAGTCGGTAAAACCGGTTTGTAATCGTTTACCGGTAATTCGATAACCGGTAAACCGGTTACAAACCGGTATCGGTAATCGATTCCCACTTACCCACACTCGGCATACCGAAAATCGGTAAAGTCGGTAACCGGTTTACCGGTTACCGACTGAATACCACCCCTAGTTTCTTATATACGAATCATGGATATCTATCTCATGCTTTATCGATGTGAGATTCGTTTACAGTAACCATGAAGGTTGCAACTTGCAAGGGCGTAATTACCCTTTCCTTCGCAGCCTGATCGAGCTTGACAGAGCTCCAAACAAGCATACATTTGTAGTATTATAAGTTGTGATGTTATGATTGGAACACGAAATAGAATGAAAGTTAAAAGAAAACGTGTATCCAACACTTGCAAACATGTGCTTTCATTTTTCGTCACACATCTATTTGACATTTCATATGTTTTTCCCCCTGTTACTACGGGGTCGTTTGGAAGTTGCGATTGTTTTGTTGAGATTGTCATTATGCATGTATTGTTTACAATGCATCGTTTTTTTGTTTTTTTAGCAGAAACAATACATGGATTGTTTCTGTAATGTGACAGAAACTATCACTCATTTTGAGTGATTGTTATATCTCAGCTTTTAGTTGTGATTGTTGAGATAGTTGAGTTGAGATTGTTTTGTCTCAGCTTTTAGCTTATGCGACATACACAATCACACATACCAAACGTTGTATTCTACAATGCATCAAATTCGACAATACATGTATAATATTATACATGCATTCTCAACAATACATCTATTTAACAATCGCAACTTCCAAACGACCCCTACATGTTGTATTATCTTGTAATCTCCATTCTTATCAATACAACTCGATCCCTCTCTTTTCTTCTATATAACCGCTTATTATTCATTTATCTTCTTTTACTTAAATCACAGAAACACATAGTTAGACAAACACAACATTTCAAAGCACACATATAAAAAAAAATCCTCAAAGCTCATTACACAATATAACGACTCATTACAAAACGAATTACGAGTCTTCGACTTAGACCCGCAACATAAAACTAGTTTAAAGTTGATTTGTACAAACACTCATCTATAGTATAGGTGTCATATCAATATCTCCTTAAAAGCTCTATGAACATTGTTTCTGGTAAATCTAACTCGACTAAAATGCATATTTTTTCATCAAAACAGCTCTTGTTGTCAGCCTTTTTTTAGATAGCCCACGTTACGCCCAGCATTGGTCCATTACCCACCACCCGCCCCACCTTACACTGCACCTGCTGGTTGGTAATTAGCATCACATTTTCAGATCAGATTGGCTCTCCCAACTCTCAATCATCTTCATCACCACCACCTTCTCCTAATTATCTTATTCCTGATCTGTTCCGTCATTTTCAGTTTGGCTGCCAGTGGGGTCCTTCCTCCACCAAGCCAAAACGAAAAACGCTACTCTCCCACCACAAAACAGAGAGAGCTCTCTCTTTCTCTCCCGTCTCTTTCCCCCCAATCTTCTTCATCTCTTTTAACTTCAACGATCTTGTTGGCTCACCCTTTGAACTTAACATTCCCAGTTCCAAATACCCAAAAAAAGAATCCAACTTTCAGGTTCACTTCATCCCTTTTCTGGGTTTCATTCTTCCTTTTCTGGAGGGTCACTCTGTTTTTCCCTCAAAATTCCCGTTCAGGAACCAAAAAACCCGAAGCTTCCAACTTTAACTTCGACTGCGACTTTACTGCCTTATTTATTCCATTTTCACATTGAATTTCTTGCTTATACCGCATTTAATAACACACCAGCGCCTATTTATAACATTCCATGGCCAGGGAATGTTATTATTATTATCATCTCCTTCTCGTACATCCATCAGCAGAGTAATCCCTTCCCCTGTTTTTTCCTCCGCCTCCAATCCAAGCTCTCTCTCTCTCCCGAATTGATTTTTTTTGTAAAGAATGATGGGATTATTATTAGGCCATTATGATTACTCGTTCACGTTTACCGTTGCGGTGGTTCTTCTCCTGCTCTGTCCGACTCTGCCGCGCTTTTGCTCTGCCGGCGACGGCAGGCTTATGGTGCCGATGACTCTGGTCCGCGACGCCGCCGATGCCGGCGCCGGTATGGTTATATACGATGGCTTTCGTATCTCTTTGTTGTGGCGAGTTCAGTGAATTAAAGTTGGGGGATGGTTTGGGTTTTTTGCGCAGTTTGCTTGGACGGGAGCTTGCCTGCGTATCATCTCCACAGAGGTTCCGGCGCTGGAGCCACCAACTGGCTTTTGCAGTTCGAGGTAATTTATTTATTTATCATAAATAAATTAAAACTAAATATTCTTTTGGTTTGAAATAGGAAAAGAAAGCCAATATTCATTTTTTTGACAGAGCAGTTGTTGAGCCTTGTGTCTCGTGCTCCTCCATGTTGCTAATGGCAGCCAGAGCATATCTTTGTTGTTCTCTGGCATGCACAAATGTGACTTCTACAATGCTAGTGTTTGATTTCGTGTAATCCGTAATAAAAACTGTGGACCTTGAACTATAAATTCACATCCAAAAGTCAATAATTTCGTAATTCCTAATCATGACTCTTACGTTCTAGAGAGCGAATTTTAGGGCAATTAAATTTGTTTGTACTGATCTAATTTTTAGTTTCTTGTGCTGGCAACTTGTGAATTTGTTCTTGTGTTGACTAATTGGTTGAATTGTGTTGCATCATATGATCCTTTACCCTACATAGGACAAATCAAATTTTGATTAGGTTGTCAGGTAATTGACGTCCTTTCCCCCCACCTTGTAACTCTCTGCATAAACAAACAACTAGCCAGTTGCCAAGCATTCCCAAAAAGAAAAGAACAAAGCTTTACCATTTCAACAAACAAAAGAAAAAAGTCTTCTGAGGTTTTGGTGGATGTCTCAAAAGATGTAAAAATAAATCCCAACCCAAAACTAAACCCCACTTGCCAACCTAAAACTTTTCCTCCTCGTGTCCCTTTTGTTCTGTTTATATCCCTTGCTTTCACCATACGCAAGCCAAAAGTCTTGTTTGGTCGTAGTAACTATGGGGGAAAAAGGGAGGGAAAGTGGAAACAAAAGTTGCTCTTCCAAAGATCGAATCTTGGTTGTAGTTTTGACAAAAAATTTCAGTACTTTTCTTCCATCTTGCAAATGGGCATTCTTCGTTGGATTTTGCTTTGATCATAGGAATATTGTAGTTTAAAATCCCCCCTCATTTTACAGGGAGGTGGGTGGTGTAACGACGTGGAATCGTGCTTGATCAGAGCCGGAACACGGCGGGGGTCCACCACTCTTATGAACAAACAAGAAGTCTTCTCGGGGATCTTAAGCAACAATGCATCTTTTAATCCAGGTACATTGCCTCTCCTATCTCAACGCTAAGTTCGGATTCAATTTTCATTATCGTCATCAAGAATACAACGTATAAAGAGTATCAGAGTTAAATTATACATATTGAATGACTTGTCATCACAATTTATTTGAACTTTCCATGTTATCGCTCCTCCTCATAAAAGGCGTCAATGAACAATTTCGCTGCTCTCTATATATTGAACCCACTTTTTTGGGTGGATTCAATGCACTCGCCTCATTTTCGTCATTCCGAGAAGAAGATTCATGTCAAAACAACGTCAATCATCATTAGTGATATGATAGACACAAAAATATATGAATATGCACAAAAATCATTCAAAATTTACTTTGGTTAGAAGGTTTTATAATTTAGGGATTCAGGGTTACGATTAAAATTGAAAGATTAGGACTTAGGATAATGCATTGATTTGTTGTGATCCTATATTATATAATTACATTTGACTAATACTACCTATAAAAATTTATAATTAAATGTCTTAGGACTATTTTTAGAATTAAATACACAGAAAAAATGACCACACCACACCAAAATAGCCATCGTATATATATAAAGACCCCATATTCTAATTTGGTCTTCAAAATTCAACTTCTAGTCGGCCATGAAATCCAATTTTTCCTACTTGTTTGTTATGGGGCAAACATGCAGTGTTCCACTGTTGATACTTTTGTCACGTGCTTTCACGTGATCAATAATTCGCCGGCAAGGCCAAAAAATTGTTCCGAAGGCTTGATCTGAAGGAGAAATGATTGCCGGCAAGACCAGACAGAAAACGTCTGGTGCTGCATGCTGCCATACTTTCCCTTTTGGCATCTTCCTCCAAACCCTAATTTGTTTGCTTCGCCATCCCTTCTGGCATACTCTCTTGCTGCTCCCCACACCGCCCACATCACTAACATATTCTAATTAAGTGGCTCTTCCTTTCTTAAATTAAAAAATCTCTGGTGTCTCGACAAAATAGCATCACACAAAAGATAAAGTTAAAAAAAAAAATTATAGACAAAATTTTATCATACCACTGAATATTTTATTTTCACCAGTTTTCACCTCTATCCATTCAGATCGGATTCGGACGAATACCCAAAATTCTGAATGTCCTAAGAATATGAAAACCATGGTAACAAACAAATTAATAAATTAACAAGAAATATCAACTTGGAGTGCAACATGGGTCAAACAGTCAAACTATAGTTCACCTGCTCTGCATATCTGGAGACTGGAACTCATCATAACCATTGCCGAGTGGAGCATCCTACGATAAATTCAAGGACGGATGTCGGATCCCATCCCGAGAATCACAACCTTAATCATTGTTTTCTGCAAATTAATAACGCCTTAATCAATGTAACGGGCCTTATTTAATCTGCTGGCGTAATTATCATCAGACTTTTACAATTGGAACCGGGTGAAGCTTAGATACTGCGACGGAGCCTCCTTCACCGGAGATTCCCACTTCCGCAACAAGGTAACTTAATTCAGCCTTCGCTGTAAATTCACGGCATTAGTTACCCTACTAATTAACCTTCTTAAATTAATCATTTTGTCTGGATTTACTACAGTCATCGGTTCTTTACTTCAGAGGGCAGAGGATTTGGGATGCCATCATTACCCATCTCCTCCCCAGAGGACTGGCCCACGCACGCAAGGTAATTAATAATAAAGCAAGCCCACAAAATTTTGGCCCAAGCCCAAATAAACAGTAACTCTCTCTCACTGTTGTTTTACCGTCTTTACCGACCACACGTCCCTCCTTTTCAGGCACTGCTTTCGGGTTGCTCTGCTGGAGGATTGTCAGTTTTCCACCACTGCGATGATTTCTCCAGGAAGTTACCGAACGCCACGGTGAAATGCTTGAGCGACGCCGGGTTCTTCCTGGACGCGTGAGTGCTCTTTTTTTTTCTTTTCTTTTTTCGATGAATGATAAGTAAGTGCTTTCTTGTTTCAGAGTAATGTATTGATAGCAAAAAAATAAAATAAATAAATAACAGAGTGTATATGACAATTAATCCCTTTGTATCGCTGCTTGTATCTATATATATGCAGGAAAGACATAGCTTCAAATTTTACCATGAGGAGCTTGTACGAAGATCTGGTCACTCTTCAGGGAGTGGAGAAGAACCTGAATGAGGACTGTAAAGCTTCCCTGGCCAACCCCAAGCTGGTAAAAATATTTAGCAGTTACTGAAAAATTAGCATGATTTTTCTGGTATTTAAATTCTAATTGTTTTTTTTTTTTTTTGCTGTTAGTGCTTCTTCCCGCAGTACGTTCTGAGATACATTACGACACCATTCTTCCTCCTGAATTCAGCTTACGACGTGTACCAGGTAAAACTCATCTCTCCAATCAGTCTTGTTTTCTGAAAATGAACACTTCCTTGGAACTTGTAACAGAAATAGCCACGTATATGCAGATAAACCACATATTGGTACCACCTTCCGCGGATATCCAGGGACTCTGGAAGAGTTGCAAGACTCAATTGTCAGAGTGCAACACTGCTCAGATCAACCTCTTGCAAGGTTAGTTACACTTCACCATGCATACATTGACCACATAGATTGTCGGGGGACGATTCTTGTCGCAATGATTCGAGTGGTTCAGAGATGTTTAAAAGAGTAGAGGTGTACTCTATTCGCTTCTACGACTTATTAAATGAAAATCAATAAATCGTATATTAACTAGTTTTGGATATGATGTTAATCATGGTTTACGTGAGATTGATTATACATGTGATCGGTATTGGTGATATGATTGATGAAAAATTGTACAAGCATATAATATTTTATCCATAATCAAGTCGCCGTCGTGATCGAGAGAACCTTTCACGTACCCTTTGAAGTCCACAAATGTTATGTAAAGGTATGATTCTTTTGATTTCAGGATTCAGGCGAGAGATGTTGCGGGCGTCGTTGTTCATATTCAGGGGTTCAAGGAGAGACGGAATGTTCATAAACTCATGCTTCTCTCATTGCCAGAGCGAGTTACAACCCACGTGGCTTGCGCTCGACTCGCCGAGAATACATAATAAGGTTCATCAATCTTATTCAATGTTTTTGTTTTCACAATACCACTATCATATTAAACATTTTAGTAGAATGAAGGTGATATTTGTGAGGTTGATTGGGGTTTTTGTGCAGACAATGGCGGAGGCTGTTGGTGACTGGTACTTTGGAAGGAACGTAACCAAGTTAGTCGACTGTCCTTATCCATGTGACCGGCACTGCCACAATCTTATACCCCAGATCGCTCAAAATGATGATTTGTGAACACAAAAAGTTTTGTATTAGAAAAAAACACTGTGAAAATGGATGCATGATTCATTACTCGAAGAGTGTAGATAAAGTTAGATATACTATACACAAAGCTATTTTTTCCATGGGAGAGTTATCTGTAGGCTTAGCAATTGACCTTAGGCTAGAGAAAGGGAAAACAAAGGATGCATCTTGATTAAAAAAAAATGCAAGAACAGTGCCCTTCATTCTTCATATCTTCTTCCTACAGTGACTACTGTAAGTCTGTAATATTGCTAGAGATATGAGAGGCTTCTTCATATCTTCCTCCAACCATTGTTTGGGATATATATTTTTTTTTTTGCTTAGTGCAAGTCAAACGAATGTAATTAAGATGATTATATATATTCTTAGTTCCGCAATGGTGGAGCGATCTTCTCTTTTCCTTTTATGAAAGTTGAAACTGTGATTGCTGAAATAATCTTGTTAGGCAATCAAGAGGATGGCTAGCCCAGGGAACACGGTGGTGGGCTCGGTCCAAGAAATGAGGAGAGTCAAGCCCAGTGGGCTGAGATTTAATTTGCTTACGTCTTCTCCTCTCAAATTATGACCCAAGCCCAATTGGACAAAATCCTAATCGTCGGTAAAAACTGCACGCGGAGTCCTTAACTAAGTAGGATCTCTCGAGATCCACGAGAGTTACTTAAACAAAGGAAAGACCACAGGTTACGTAACAAAGGCGGACTTAGGGGTGGGATTCGGTACGCCGGTAAACGGTTTACCGTTTTACCGAACCGTTTACCGCACAACCACCATTATTTTTGGTCTTATGACAATGTGTATCCAAGGCTGAAACCATCTCCTGATTGAAGTGGCAGGAATAGAACCCCGTGACTTTGCTAAACAATTTGGCATGTGGCATTCGAACCTTGACGACCCAGTCACCATATTTGATTCCACAGCGTGGTAAGTATTTGGCTACTGAATGAGCTAGCTATAGGGATTGACATTGATTTTAGGGTTAAAAGAATGTGGCAGTCCGAAACCACGCCACACTCTCTCATGTCATTGAGCAATTTGAGCTACCACGAACGATACGGAGAGTTTATACGTTCTACTTGTGCTAAGATTTTGTATCGATATAGTTGGCACTTCTGAAGCATTCTCTATCAGGGGTGTTCAAATAGAGTGGTTACCGTGGTAACCATTTTAACCAGGAGTGTTGGGGTAATATGGTTTGATAATTTGGATAATCAGTTTGGTTAAATTGTTTTAGCTTGTGTTGGATTTAGTTTGGTTTGGTTAACCAATTAGCCATATATCTTATATATTATATATTCATACTTTGCATAACCACTCAAGCATCGAGCATTATCTCTCTTTTAGTCAAATCTCTAATATATTATATACACTTACTATGATAACAATTTGCACACCCCTATATCTACGACGAAATTAACCCTACCGATTTTACGAAGGAGTGAAGGTACTCCAAGTTTGATTGGTGGGCTGGATGATGGGTGCCATGGGCTGGAGGGAGATGGTTAGGTGTTGGTATGACTCCTGGGCTAGGTTTCGCGGCCCGTTATGAGATGGCTTGCACTTGTTGTCGATTTTATATTGGGCCGGGTTCATGCAATTCATTAGTTAAGCTACTCCATCTCTTTTAACACTCAGGTTTATGTGTGAAAGAAAATTTGGAAGGAGAAAGAAAATTTAGAGAAGTGAAATTTGAAGATAGTAAAATAATAAGAAGAAAATGATGTTCATATCTAAACGGAAAAATATACCATAAGTGTAAGGATCATTTTCACTTAAAATTGGGGAGATATTTACCATAGTAGCTTTTTTTTCCTCCAATAATCACCCCTTGTACTATAGCAAACCTTATGATAGGAGAAAGGTTCATGATTACAACAATTTTCTCCAATTTTTTCTCCTCCCTCTCTTTTTCTTCTTTCGTGAACATAGAATAAGGAAAATATACTCCATCTTAATTCTTGCTATAAGCATGTAATGCTTTATTTACAATCAATTATACAAATGAGTTCGTAGGGGATTAACCTACGAAAGAGCAAGTCTTTACGAAAGAAGATATTAACTTAAACGGATCTTTATGATAATCCGTTGAACGCGGTTTGTTATCTTTGTAAGTGACACCAACACCTAATTCATGCAGTCTAGTGTTTATTCACGTAATATTGATGTTTATTCACGAAAACACAAATGGTTATTCTCGCAAGAGTGGTGTGTTACTTACACAAGTTGTTATTTATACACACATTGTAGCATTTCAAATAACATCAACTTTCATTTTTCAAGAATATTAAAATGCTTGTAACTATGTAAATTACTATCAATACAACTTTTTGTATAAAATATAATAATAATAATAATAATAATAATAATAATAATAATAATAATAATAATAATAATTACTCGGCAAGTTATGGCCGATACAAATTATTAGAGGATGGAAAAATAAGAAAATTTCTCTATCCATGATAAAATATTATTAAATCATAAGGTGTTTGAAAATACGAGAACTTTTTCTAATACTTTACATATTTACGGGGTGCCTACATATTTCTGGTTTTCGAACAAGATACCATTTTATCCGGTAACACCATCAAATTATCGTTCTTATTCAATTCTCGATTCCTAAAAAATGTTATAATTACGAATTTGAAATGGAGTAGATAGACCGATACTTTGGAGATACAACTTTATATATATAATCTTGAGAAAACCTTACTACTCTAAAACTCCTCTTCCTCTTTTGAATAACAATTTTGTATGCACATTGACCTCCTTAAAAGAACACAACTAATATGTAGTGGGTAGATCAAAACCATTAACTCCCCAAATATATGCCCAAAGACCGGTCCAACCCAATATTGAAAGCTAACATGAAGTTTCGAAGACACTGACACTTCAAAATCCTTTTTAATCTGAATTATTCAGAAATGAAAGTTTGATGAATTATATATAATATGGTCGTCTCCATGCTTGAAAATTAATGGAGACATTGAAGTGAAGAACATCTATGGAGATAATATATAAACTACTCAGAGGCAAACAGCCCACTAAAGCAAAGTGCTGCTTCTTCAGACAGTTCACATTTACCTTTCTATCCCCCATCAACAATGTCTGCTGCAAAATTAATTAGCCTCAAAAGATCCACCAAATACAACCATTTGCCATTATGGTGTTAATTAAGTACACCTACAGCTTAATTACTCTGTAAGAACAAATGATATTCATTGATACAATGAAATAGTCTTGATTAAGTCCGCAAATTAAAGGAGATATCACTTTACAAATGTCATTGAAATTTGATTCGTACCACTGAAATGTCTTATTGATTGATATCTATAGATCCAATTTTTTGTACCCTAAGTTCATGTAAATTGTAAAAAAAAATCCGTTACACCCAAGTGAACGCTTACATACACTCTTCATCGCTTAGCCAAGGTCGAACACTATCCATATAAAAATAACTATTCTTCCTCCAAAAATAAAAACCAATGGTAGACCCTTCTACATTGTATTAGTCTCTCTGAATGAGCAAAAAATTCAAGATGTATCGACTTCAGTATCATAACGTGCCTATATAAAAAAAAACATCATCGAGTCTCTTTTGATGTAACGATGTTATTGAACCAGGTGCAATGAATGCAAAAAAACCAAATCATCCATGAATGTTCACATCAATCCATCATCACATCTCCCTTGACAATGCACATACTATTAAAAATCACTCTCTGAACCTCGACGGAGTCGCCTAATAATAATATGGGATGAGAACATCCACCACATTCTAAATTTGAATCTTATTAGAGTGATCAGTCACCAACGAAAAAGTTCATTTTTAAACATTGGGAGGTGAGAGCTAGCTAGTAGTCACGATGTCCATAACCCAAAAAAAACTAATTACTCAATCAATTCATTAAGTACACTTACATAACATATGAAATGTTGACGACCCATGTCGATCTTTCCTTTTCCCCTCCTCATGTTCATATTCGTACCTTCAAATTGGAAACAACTATATATTAATTTCAATCCTCTCTTTTTTTCTGCCTTTTCCCCATTGCTTTTTTTCCCTACGAAAGGCCAAAATAAAAGACCTTTAATTTTTTTCTTTTGCAGGTCGGGCGGGTCGTGCCCACGAGTGGAAGAGACAAGCATGGTCCCTGAAAATCTGCAGGAGAGGGTTAGGTTCCATTAATAAGCCCTCCTCCAACAAAATCTTTTTCTCTACTTGACTTAATCCCACTTTAATAAGTTTTAATCTGAGATTATATATATTATATTCACATTAATTATCAAGGGACAAGGTAACCCTACAAACAGCAGAACACATTAAAAAAAATAAAAACAAGACACCATCTCATCTCAGTTCATGTACTTGCTCCATGTTTGTTTAATGAACAACCTGAGATTCTCATCCTGGTGATTAGCATTAGCTATGCAATTCCACGTACTCCATATTTGATTAGTGAGATCGATACTGGGTTGGTACGTACGGAATTTGCTTATTATTACATTTGATGATTAATGATAAACAATTTTTGTTATGTAATCTCATCTGGATGGGTTGTAATCAAGTCACTAATTATTGTCTAATTAATGGGCTTCAAATGTCCAGGGAACACGGGCCCCCATGTTCTTAGCAAAACTCATATTCTGGAGGACCTAAAAATTGGAAAAAAGGAAAATACAACGGGAGAAAGAATTGCAGACAAAATACCACATGCCAAGCAGTAAGCAACTTTCAATTAGTCAGAGGAAGGGGAAAAAGGGGAGGAAAAAGGGAGAATAAAATTGTCTTTATAGAGAAAAAAGATGTATTTGTAAGTATAGTGGAACTCAGCTTGGTCGAATAATAAATTAATAATTCAAAGTTAATTATTTCCCCCAATTTCAAGGGTTCTTTTGGATTTGCTAAAACCAATCATTAATAGACAACAAAAAAAACCCCTTAATTATATGGACAAAATCTCAGTCTGAGTGAGTTCATGAAACATAGAGCACCAACTCCCTAAAAATTGTCTCTCATAAATAAATAAAATATTCTTTTCTGTCACATTCTTTATTATATTGGTAGGTACTAAATTAATTGGGAGATAAAAGTATATAAGGACCATAACCAAACCTTTGGTTGTATTTATTAGCAGGATTGCAATTTTTGGTCTTCTCATCTTACAGCCCATAACAGCTTTAAACAAACAACTTCCAAGAAAAGTAGATATATAATATATTAATATGCATTCATCATCAAAATATCCCCACCCATTAACATAGTGAGCCAAATAGAGATACATGTAATTTAGCTTGGGTTGTAGGCTTGTTCTACTTGGAGTTCATGTTAAAATAAATATTAAAATATTTCACGATAAAACGTTCAACGCTCTTTTATAAGATATCAATCCAATATCGAG